CATGAGCCCGCTTCATCCTAACCATCGAAGAATGAGAGCCCCACGGCTTTCAGCCTACCTGGGCAACGCCGGCGCGGGTCGAGACTCGTTGGCCCCGTCTCCTCGCCGATATCACATCCCAGATAATCCAGTCGGCTTCATTGGAGTAGGAACCTGGGGAGGAGGGTTGAGGGTTGAGGGACGGGGCCACACGGCGGCTTCTTTCGTCACGATAGTAGCAGCCGCCTGCCTACTGGGGGGGATCAGATTAGCGCGCCACCGTCCCATCTTCTTATTCGGTCAGACGCCCAGAGCCCAGTTGGCTGTAATGCATGCATGGTTTCACAAGTGAATTCGGAAACAGCACGCTGACAGAAACGACAGAAAAGTTTATGCCTGCAGTTGGGAGGTGTTTGTTGCGCCAGCGGCATCAACCTTCGGCTGCGTTCCGAGCTTGGTGTTGTCTCAAGAGCCAAAGTTGGACTGAATCCCTGGTCCGTTGAGGCTCCCAGGCGGAGAAGAATTACAATTACGGGATCGTCTTCCAACAGCGTCGATCCTCAGGCTCCTTGGTGTCGCATATCCCTGTCCAGGGTCACTTGACTCGGACGCGGGAGCAAGTCGAGGTCGAAAGGTCGGGGTGGCCGGGGGAACCAAAAGGAACCGATGGCGACATCCATTACCTTGAATCGTCCGCCGACTGCCACCACACCAGATTGCCCTTGTTCAGGATCTGGTTCCCCCTCCAAGTTAGGCAAAGGCAACGAAAACTTATAAGCCAACAGGGACAGACCTTTACTCGACGTCCCAAGAACCGCAACAAGATTTCGGAAGCCGGCGAACTAACCGAAAAGAACGAGTCACCAAACGCGTGCCATAGCCGCTGAGAAGTGCGTGCGCGAGTTGCGTGTTTGCGATTGTGAAGAGCGTTGAGTAAGGTGAGTGTGGATGGGTGGGGAGAAACATGTTGCGCAAGCGAGAGCGTGAGGGTTGTAGAAATTTGGAAACGTTCTTCACATTGACCATCTATATACCAGTGGGTGTCCCGGTCTTCTTTCTGTTCGTTCTCGATTATGCCGATCTGTGGGCACATTGTGAGCAGCTCAACCAACACATCCATCTGTGCGTGGATTGGATTCCTGCCTGTCTGGCCGCCCATGCAAAAAACTAACCATATCTCCCAACGCCAGCCATGCATCCATCCGTCGCGGAGGATATTCCCTATCCTTGAACCTGAGGCCAACCCTTTTTTTTCTGGTTTTGCGTTGTGTGCCTGAGAACATCCCAATACTTGTTGAGAGACTGGACGAAAATAAGAACAAGGTCATGGTCCGCCATTTGGCTCCAACGCTTGTTCATAGCTTTTGTTGTTACAACCCATGACTCTGTGTTCCGCAGCGTCCGCAACCTGGCGGATGTTTCCAGGTCGGAAGCCGTGCGAAACCTCGTGGGTAGGAGAGGACGACTTTAAACGGGCAGCTTGAACTTCTTGCCCTTCATCACCTTGGTGTAGTAGATCCAGAAGAAGTCACTGTAAAGGATAGTCTGGATGATACCGGCGGTAATGGCGATCCAGTCGACCTTGTGGTTCACTTCAGTGAAGTAACGGTAGATCCAGTTGGGGATGTACAGGGCACGGTAGATACCGAGGGCGAAGAGGTAGTGGGTGGTGATGGTCTCGGCCTCGCCAGTGCGCTGAAGCATGAAGAGCTGAGGCAAGATGGCAACGGCCTCGAGCCAGATAGAGAAGGTCCAGGAGATCTCCCAGAAGGTGTACGAGTAGGGGAAGATGATGGCCAGGGCGGCAGCTCCGCCGAGCAGGTACTGGACGCGGAAGGTATCCTGGTTGGGGTCGTTGGTTGGCTTGTAGGCGGTCGTCATCAGGTAAACGATGTACCCTTGGGAAGAGATAAAGAGGATCTTGAAAACGAGGTTCCATAGACTAGAGGTCGTAAACAAGTCTGAGGGGGACAAACAAACGCTGGTTAGTTTAGGTCAAGCAGAGAGAAGGGAAGGCAATGGAGGCTTACCAAGGTACCTGGTGATGTAGACCAGGAAGTAAAGGGCTTGCGACTTGAACGAAATACCAGAACAGCTCTGAGAAAGAATTAGATCGGGGCCCTGGGTGTGACGACATGGTGGGAATCGAAAAGCTCACGTTCAGCTGCACCATCTTGTGGAGGAGAATGCCGATACTGGCAAGATGGGACAAGTCCCCTGCAAGCCCATCATGTTAGTCCCCGGAGCAAACAGTTGTAGTATCGAGGATTTTGGCGACACGTACCGGCAATGCGGAAGAGATTGAGCATCGTGACAGGTTGATTGCGGCGAGGCGATGGATCGCGAGTGACGATTTGGGGCGGGAGGGAGCTTCAACTCGGAGGGAGCTTGGAGCTGCCAGTGACAGCGCGCGCACGGCTTATCGGATGGTTGTAATCAGGCGGGTGCAGGTCGCCTTGCACGCTGGTGGTTTTCGTCGTCGTCGTCGTCGAGCGTCTTCGTGACGTGTCGTTTTGTTTGGGTCCGCGATGTTTTGGCGTCGTGACGTTGGAATTCTTGGGTTGCTGGGGAGGGAGCTTCGAGACTGCGTTTAGCACAACTGGCAGCTTTTTTGGGTTTCCAGGAGGGTTGAAAGGACACGAACGCGATTGCAAGCTCATTGGAAGCTGGAACCGAACACTCGAGCCACACAACTAAACACTCAGGTACCTTACCCAGTGCTTCGTACCTTACCTTACGGTGACTGGCCAGCGGCGACGGGAGCTGTTGTCCGCCTTACCTAATACGAGACACTTGCGGCAGGGCTTAGGTAAGGCACGCAATGAAGATGAGACACTTTGCGCTCTTTCGTTCCTGGAGGCTAAGGCACCTACCTGCTGTGGGGTCCTTCAGCATGGAATGATGGAACCTAAGGTGCAGCACCTTGACTCGGAGTGAGAAGCTGAGGTAATCATCCATATAGGAACGGGTTCTCATTGGCTTAGGTAAGGTAATCGGAGCGGAATCCCCGAATCTGCGCTACGGGAATCGCGGACTCCACTTTCAAGTCCAGGCCGCTGCCCCGAACGCGACGGAGGTCGGGGAGTTCCCAGGTGCGCCAAGATGTGACGTATTACAAAGCTGCCTGAATGACAAACCTCCGCGAGTCCCATCACGGGGTGGCCATCTGCGCCTCAGCCCGCACTCGTTGTGATTCCCAACATTTCCATGAGTGCCACCCACCTCTGTATATAGACGCACAACTTGGCGCACTCCTTGCAACCCTGCAAATATCTAGCAAAATACCAAGTTTTATTGATACACTACACCCGACTACGATCGCCAATTCAAACCCCCACCAACCATGGCCGAAGCACACTCTTGCGAGTCCGACTACGACGACTCCGCCGACGAAGCCATCACCATAACGCTCACCCACCGCAACACACCACACACCTTTAAATTCCCTCCGGATGGAACAATCACCCACCTCTCCGAAGATGTCGAAGACACCCTCTTGATCCCCGCCTCAAATCAAAAGTTCATCGTTCCGAAGCTCGGCCTCCTCAAACCCCCCTTCAAAGACCCCGACATGTCCCTCGTCGACCTACAAAACAAAAAGATCATGCTCATGGGCGTCGAGGCCAAGGAGGTCGCCTCCCTCCAAGCCGCGTCCGAGTTCGCCGCGAAACGAAACGCTGCCCGCAGCGCCGCCCGCAGACAGAATCGGCCCTCGAGGAGGCGAGACCAGGGCCGCGCACAGGCGGACAGCACCTATACTTTCCTCTCCGTCCGGCCGCTAGCAGGCCTCCCGCGTCCAGAGAGATCTCTGGCGCTTCTCGAGAAGCTGAAAGAGGATCCGGGCATCCGCGCCTCCATGCGCAAGCACAAGTTCAGCGTCGGCCTCCTGACGGAGATGGAGCCCCTGTCCAACACGCAGTCCAACCACGAGGGGACGACTCGACTCCTCGGTCTGAACCGCAATAATGGAGAAGCGATCGAATTGCGGCTGAGGACGGATGCGCACGACGGCTACAGAGATTACAAGACCATTCGCAAGACGTTGTGCCATGAGCTGGCGCATAACGTACACAGCGACCATGACCGCAACTTTTGGGACTTGTGCCATCAGATCGAGCGCGAAGTCGACGCGGCGGACTGGAAACATGGCGGACACACGGTCGGAGAGGGGTCTTCGTACTATGCGCCGGGACAAGACGAGGAAGAGGACGTCGAGGACCACGGTGGTTGGGAAGGCGGTGATTTCGTCGTGGGAGGAAGCGGTGGTGGCAACGCTGGCTTGAGCCGACGAGAGATCCTGGCCAAGGCTGCAGAGGAAAGAGCTAAAAAAATGAACATGGAGAGGAGGGACGGAGGCAAGCCTGACTCTGGCCCGTCGTCGTAGAGGTTCTGCATGGTACTCGGAGCAACATTGAAGCGTTCGTATGGTGTTACTGTTACTTTGCTTTCTGGATTTAGCATTGCGCAGGCGTTGCGGTGGCTTGGACATGGGACATCAACTGACCTCGCTGGTCACGGAGTAGTTAGTCAACTCAATCACGATGAATATCCGCTCTCAAAACGATTGGTGGGTGCCCAAATAGGTGCTCGCATTGTAGTTTCGCATCATGCTATTTTGCATGACCATCTAAACCCTCAATGCGACGGGTCATATAAGGTAGTGATATCTTTCTACCCAACAGGTGAGCCATGCTGTTACTCGTACAAATTGCCGCCTCCCCCATGAATGCTGTGAAAAGAAAAGAAAAAAAGAGAGAGACCTCGTCCGAGTGTCCTCCCGGTATGATATCCCTTTCCTAGAACGCCTTGATGTCATGCCTATGCCATGTCCGGAAACGCCGCCAATGCATGTAGGCGTACGGCGACGCCAATTGCTATCGCCCAAATGCCCATGTTTTTCTGCTTCAAAACGGAACAAAAAGAAGAAAAAGCCGTGTTGCGGCTTGGAAAAGCCATCGCTTGAACTGATCCACGTTCCAGTCATGCAGATTCTGCAATCAGTGAAGGCAAACAGCCTTCAGCTATTGCTGTGTCTTGAGCCACTCCTTTTGCTCCGGTTCCCACTTGTGTCTGCATATCGTGTTAGTCGTGAAAATAAGAGTCGGAATTCCGCCACCAGGATCAAAGCTTATTTGGGGGTAACAAAAAGCATGGATCCCAACGCAGATCTCTAAACTTACCCTTGCCATTCGGTGGTCACCAAGCTTTTGGTACCGTACTCTTCGGAAAGAATGCGCTCAAAGCTGTAGGGAATGGTGGCGGGGACACCCTCGAACTCGGTCTCGCGCATGGGGAAAAGGTCGGTGGTGCGGTAGCGGTGGTAGTTCTTACAACTCCAGACACCAGGCATTCCGGAGGGGTCGCGCTCGGCGAGGCCAGTAATATCGATAAAAGCGCCGTTGGCCATGTTGATCCAGCGGGCGTCAATGATGTTCTGGCCGTCGCCGCGGTCCTTGTCAGTGCCGTGGGGGTTGACGTCGAGCAGGTAGCGTTCCTTTCTGGCGTTGCCATCCGTGTCGGTCCAGTCGAAGTCGTGCTCGGTGCGGTTCAGGTTCTGGCCCATCCAGTACAGAGTCGCCGTCGAGACCTGAACATCGAGGTCGTAATCCCAGGGCATGATCTTGCCGTTCCACCACCAACCCAGAAGCGTGCCGTGGGCGAGCCATGTCTCAACCTTGAGCTTCTTGGTAATGGTCAGGTAGGAGCGGACGAGGTTGCGGAGAACAACACGGTGCTCGTCGTAGCCCACAGCTTGCTTGAAATAACGGATATCGTAGTGGCCAAGCTCTTCGCCACAGCAGGGCTCGTGGAAGTACTTGGTGTCCTCGCGCTTTTCGATGGCCGGTGGTGAGGATTGGCTGACATCTCTGGCTGCTTGAGGTGCCGCAAGAACAGTTGATGTGAGGCCCAGCACGGCGAGTGGGAAAGTAAGGTTGAAGCGCATCTTGGCTAATTGCGTTGTTGTGTTGCTTGAGTGGGATTCTTGATATCGAGATCCAGAATGATGGGTGATTACTTGGTAACAATGACGGCAAACAAGAATCCCCAAGTTCCAAAAAATGGCGGGATGCTGCTGTTTGTCGAGTTTTCTGGAGGCCTCGTAATGCCAAGAAGTTGTCTTCGGGAGGTGGCCGATGCGAGGCAGGAAGGAGGTGAAGGTGGATATGACAGGAGCCAGAGGGGCCGATGAAAGTAATTCGTTTGTTGACTGCCTCAAGTCAAGTTCGGTGAGTAATAGCAAGCGACTGGGATAAACGAGAGAAAGCGTAGAATAATCCTTTCGATTTCTGGAGTCGGTCAAAAACAGAGAGTGGGCGAAATTTTGGGTATTGTTGAAGCTGGTCAGGCGATGGCGGTATATAAGACGAGTTCCAGAGGGCGGAACCGCGGGCGAGGGGAGCCGATCAACTCTGAAGCAGAGGAAGAGATGGTGAAATGTGTTGATGCAGGTGTTCAGACCGTGATGTCGAGGTCAGGTCTATGTCTATGTTACCGAAGGATGTCAAAACACGCAGATGCCAAGGAATAAGAGGTAAGAGAAGAAGACCGGAGCGGACATTAGGGATGCGCAGCAGGGCAGGAGGAGGTGATATGTAAGTACATCGAATGGATGTGTGGGAGGTGGAGGGAGTGGGATTCGTGTATTCATACATGGGAGTGTGAGTGAATGAGAGACTGGGCCAGAGGAAAGAGAGAGAGAGAGAGGCGTGTGGTGACGGGAGACGGGTGAGGGATGGAGGTGTGAGGGTGTGGGAGTGGGCTTGTGGAGGGTGTGTGGTGATCCCGGTCATGGTATTAGTGCAGCATCCCGAGTCCCGCCATGGCAAAGAATCCCCACGCAGACCATGGAGCGCCTACGGGACTGGATTTTTTGGAGGGTTTTTTTCTTACAGCTTTCAGTTTCTTTGCCAAGATGATAATGCTGCTACACGCTCCAGTGTTTCCGAGGAGCCTCCTTTCTCGCATTTGGCTGTTCCTTTTTGTGAATATTCCACAGTGCCAAGGGAACAAGAACAACAACGAAAGGTGATATCACAGGGGACTCCTCCTCCACCACTCCCTATGTCTCACCTCCAGCCTGTCCGTTCCACTGTCTAAGCCGCCTGGGTCGCAAATAACGGTAGTAGTAGGAGTAGTAGTAGTAGTAGTAGTAGTAGTAGTAGTAGTAGTAGTAGTAGTAGTAGTAGTAGTAGTAGTAGTAGTAGTAGTAGTAGTAGTAGTAAGGTACCCGTACGGGGTATGGGCTATGGATAGCTACTAGGTACTACGTAGAGAGCGTACGTACGACGGTGGTAGAAAAAATAAAAAAAAGCAGACACCCACATTCCTTTGCGAGAGAGTCGGAAAGAGACTGAGACTGGCGGATTTGCGCGTATGCGCCATGTTTGAGCGGCATACGTAATCCCGCGTCGAAAGGAGTTGATGGAGGCAGGGCGGCCAGGGCCCGGGCTGTCGCCGGTGACCGGGAGCGGGTGACAAGCCGCGTCCTACGGTGGTACTAGACACTGCTGCGCCTGCTCATGCCGCGAGTGTATTCGTAGCCAGACCGTACGGATAGACAAGGGCCCATTGGGATCCAGTAAAGGTTAATTAAAAACACAAAAATCAACACAGACTGGCGAGGGTTCGAGGAGGAGAGGAGCGTTCCGCCGTAGGGAACAATCTCAAAAAAGAAGCTTGAGCAAAATGGGACCCGGTGGGTGTGGTCCGGGAAAGACGGGGGTCAAGGTAGCAGGGGTGAGAGAAAGGAGACGACATTGGAGCGTGAGCGTGGGCGGAATATCAGAATCTGCAGTTGGCAGTTGCGTTGCGGTTGCGCAGTTGCACTTGCACTTGCACTTGCACTTGGCACTTGCCCCTCTGACTCTCTCCAAAGCTCGGAACGGCAGGGGTGGAGACGGTGGTCCTGCCATTGGGCCTTTGGGTAAGGTACATTACGGAGTGAGGTACCTTATGGCATAGGTAAGGTACCTTAGGTAAGGTAGGTACGGGGTACCACCTTACACCCTTCCATGAGGTGTCGTGTGCTCCTGCTGTTGCTCACTTTCTGCTCTCGTGCTTCTTCTCCTTCCTTGGTGACGGTCCTCGCCGTCTTTGCAACTTGCAACTTCCAGGTGCAGGCATGTGGTCCCAGACTTCCCAGACTTGCCAGTCGCCGCATAAGCCGCTAACGGGCTTGGCACAATTTGGGGGTGGCTCCAGCGTCAAGGTCAGCGCCGGTGCCACTTGCGTGGAGCTAAGGGGACATAGTCGACTAGCCGATATCTGCCTTGCTCTCTTGAGTCTTCTTAGGGGAGAGTAAGGTACGGAGTACTCAGTCATTCGATAGGTATCGCCCTTGGCTGTCACATGGTATGCACCGCCGTTTGCTCGGTGCTAGGCTTAGTGCCGAGTGTGCCGACGGGCCGGTTAACTCGTAGTAACTAACAACCACTCTGGCATAGGTTGTCTTGACGATCTGATATCAGCAACATAGTCCGAAGTGGCAGTCAGTCAGCCGCAAAGTCAATTGCAGTCATCTCAAGTCATCTCACGAGGAGTTAAGAGGACCACGAACGAAAATGTAAGAAAAGGAAATGTACCTAGGCGAATTCGTTTACAGTGTAAGCGAATGCCGAGGTGGAGGGGACCCGGGCCATCGCCGTTTGGCCGAAACGGCAAGAGAGCACCTGACTATGGGAACTGTGATTCTTCCTTATCGGAGCTGCCAACGTCACAATGGAACCTCCCCAAATCCCCCCCCCCCCCCCCTTCCCGGGCCATAGACCCATTCACATAGAAGGTGCCCCTGTCTACTACTTCCCAATTTTCAATGTAGCTCCTGCCCGTGGGCACACATCCAGATTCTGGGCGGTTCCTTCCATGATGCCCCAAATCACCAATTTCTCGGTCGCGGGACCGAGATATCGATGACGGGGCGATTTAGTACATACTAGGTACTGCGTACACAGCGAATGAGGCAAGCCCCGGGCCAAGTCACCACTCATGGAAGTGTCGCGTGCCCATTGACGATTACCAACACCCACGGATTCCCATCAGACATTCTCAGGCAGTCATCCTTCATCCGATGTCGATTCCCCCGAAATCTGCATATTTGCCTTCGAGGCTTCAAACAATTGAAAGCAGCCAAGGTCATCCCATCCACTGCTGCGCCCGACGGTCAGTGGCCACGGACACACATGGCCTACCTTACTTTACCTTAATTGGCATCGGATCAAACAACTTGGGACAAAATTGAGCGCCGTACTCCGTATCTAAGGTGCTACCTATGGACCCGTAGGTACATACCCAGGCACACACGGCACGACCCCATTTCCTACCCGCGCACCATGGCTTACATGGGCAGATTGGCGCGGCTTTGGTTCCTTGAGAGTCTCACTGTCAACTTCTCGTGTCTCAACGCGCCCGCCCCCTTGGCGCCATTCAGCTTCCCCCCTCCCCGTCCAATGACGTGAGGCCGCTCCGTCGGGGCTTCACCTTGGCCGTCACTGGGCCTTTTGGCCATATGCGCGCCGGCAACACAGTGAATCCCGTTCCGCTACTTGGCATACAGGATTCGACCAGACCGTACTCCGTATCGCGTACGTACGGAATACTATGGGAACAACCACTGCGGTTTTCGATCAGAATTCAAGGCTCAGGACTGCAGCCGAAGATCCAACAAACCGATAGCCTCATTCAGTGCTCAACGACTTGCAGTCAGCATTTATTTTAATTCGACACCCCTCGCCCCGGCTGCTACGCGCATATCCAGGATCAATCCGCTCCGCGTATGGCGATCAGCGGCTCTGCCTCAGCGCAACGTCTGTTATGGAGTATAAACGTCCCAAACTGACACGAATGGCACCGAAAGACACGATGAACGACTCGAGTCGTCCGTCCGAACCCACCAGGTCGATCAAACGATATCCAACCAGATTGTGCACAGAGGCCAGTGGCATGGCTGAAAATTGAAGTATTCAGGGCCCAAAGAGAGACCCCTTTCCCCTTCCAGAAGAGAAACGTCCCGGCACCAGCAACCTCACCTTTCCATTTTTACCGTTCCGCTCTGACAGACAGACTCACGCCCTCAACTCGCACGTCTTCTTTCAGTCCTCACGCCTCTCAGTCTCGGCTGGTCAACTATCCTCAGACCTCAGTGTGCTCCAATTGGCACTTGGCGCCGGTGGCCCCACAGCGACGCGTGGCCCTGCAAGATACCCCTGCCACTTCTCCCTTTTGGCGACAACGGCTGTCTGCAACTTTTGTTCCCAGTCGAACCAGGTGCCGCTGTTCCTTTTTCTTTTTCTGCCCATTGATTATTCTTTTTAGATGCATAATTCAGCACCAGGACTACCTTACGAATCTACAGATACCATCCTCCATACAGCTGGCATGGTACTGTACGCCGTGGCGCATGCTTCCGCTCTTTGGGGCTCAATCACTTCCGCTCCGCCCATCGTCCGTTTCCCTCCCCGCCCTCACTGGTCCGATGTCGTTGCTGGTTGGACCCAGAGCTGTGTTACCAACGGTGACCGACCCTTTCTCTTCTGACGGCTCACGGCACGTTCAAGGAGTTGTCGCTAGTCAACACAAGTTTGGCGGCTAGCAACAGAAGCTTTCGTGGCCCCCCGGTTTCAGGTTTCTCCTGTCAACTATGGCAACTCGTCACTGGCCGCGTGGTTGGCGTCGACAACCGGCATCCTGTGCCGAGGGCGACAACAACTTGCAGTCGGGAGACAGCTGTGGCTTTCAGCCTGGGAAGCATCGCTCAAAACTTAGACCAGGTAGCAGGAAGGGAGGCGGCAATCATGGTGAAATGAGGAAGCAATCCGATGTCCGCACTCGTGTCTGCACTCAATTGTGGCTGCATGCCTCGGCGCCGAACCGGCCAAACAAGACCAACAACAAACCACGACCAAACACACTACAGTCTTGGTACGGATTACCGTGCTCATCCTTATACGAAATCAGATTGCAGATAGCGATGCAGTGATGCTTTGGTACAGTCCCTCTCTCCTCGGCGTCAGCAAGATGACCCTGTCACTCTCCAGAATCCAGACAAGAAAAGGCTGGGGATCTCGCAAAGCGTTATGGTTGGTGGTGGGAGAATTGGCGTTGTCTTGGCCGTCTGCCGGTGCTCCCGACTGAACACACGCCCTCGAATTGTCTCAGTCTTCCAACCGTCGGGCGAAGAGAAGGAATGCCTGAATCAAACTGACGGAATCCTTCGAGACGTTCTCGCCCATTTTCATTACTACTCCCGCCGCGACTGGAGAATGCTCTTCATCAACCGTTTATTCCACTCACCAGCGCGTCGAGCTACGAATAGATCCTGGAGGCCTGGACATTGTTCAAAGTGGAGAGACTCTGCGTATGCGTGCGAATACGTCTGCGCCTCTATCTTTGCACTCATCGCATCCGCCCCACTGCTCATGCAAGCAAGGTTCGCCTTTAATGCAGATAAGCATCATAGCAAGAGGGCGAGGGTCAGTAAAGGGCTTTTGGCCGGGGTCCATCGTCCAGGGGGCAGCCTGGATTATCATCAACTGACAAAAAAGACTAAAAATTCATTCTCTTCAAACGGGTGGTCGCTCACACGACACACAACCTGGGCAGCAATGGCGAAAAGCTGACGCCAAGCATCCACCCAACCATAGGGCTCACGCCACAACCCGATGCAGTCTTGCACATCACCATGATCGATATTAATTACCCGGTGTTGCCGTTGACGTGTGCGCCGTAATGTGGGCAGGGCTGAGTCCCGGGACTCGTCGGCGGCACCGCCCCCGCGACGAAAGCATCCAGTTCCGCCCCGCTCTACCGGCCTTCCGCGCCTCTTACGGCGACCGCGCAAGCTACTCCGGCCTCCTGATCCATGATGGACCCCGTTTTGCCCGTTCCCAAGACAGCCGGTCGATCGGGCCTCGTTCCCTGACCCGGAAATGCGGTAAACTTTATTCGAGAACTCGTCAGTGCTTCCGGTTCGGGATACCAAACCTCGGGACTGGCGATTATGCTTGTCCAAAGTCTATTCCTGGCCCCCAAAACCCGTACGGATACGGCACATGACGCTGACACCACGCCGCCCGTAATCAACTGCCGGCTTGGCTCTACAACGGTGAATGCCTAGACAAGCTGGATTCATTGAAGTAGTCTTCGGTTACTGGGCAGGCACTGCCACATAGTCAGCCGTTCACGTCAGCGTGAAGCTTGTTTGGTGAAGCCTCGATCGAGGCTCACTGAAGGCGCCATAATTGATGCCGTTAGCACCTCTACTTTCAGTTATCACAGCTGGAAGGCGTTCTTCAGACCTTCGTAGGCCATCGTATGCTGTAGAGAGAGGTTTATCCTCAAGTGATGATTACGTCAAATATTCGCGAGGCTTGGTTGCAAACGGCCAAGTATTCGCACGTGGTTCCCCATGTTGTCTGCTCGGCACGTTCATCCGTGACAAAGGTAGGTGAACGGCAGTTGCCGCTCATCCGTAGACGTAAACCGCGTAGCTCAAGTAAGAATTCCCCAGTCTAGTAGTAGGATCCCCTGCTGGTGTTGAATGAGAAGGCCTGCTGAAATACCGCAAAAGCATAAAAAACATGGATTGTTCTTGCTGCCGTCAACTACCTGGATGAGAAAAAGGCCGACCGTGGTATTAGATGTTCATTGTCTTTAGATATGCCGGCCTTGATATCTCTTGCCTGCGACTACAGGAACTTGGAGAGTTCTACAGAGCCTTTCAAATTTTCGCACAACGTGTTGATTCGCACTCAACCTTACCTTACGGCGCAGAAACAGAGGTCCCTGAACGAGTCTAGTTTTCCGTCTTTTGAGGTAACAGTTATCGAAGAGGAAAAACAAATAAGCTATTGGATTGTATGCCGCGGGAATCTTCGCGGAATCTGTAACGCACGTTGGGTCCTAAAGAACTTGGAAATACTGAAATGTATGTTTCCATGAAAAATATCGACATAATACGATGGAGAGGTTGATGCTAAATTTCAGACATGATCTTGATCTTGGCCTTGAAAGGATCTTTTCAATATTGATAAGTATCATTGACTGCACGGAGAGGAAATCCGGTACTGCCTCCAAATTTCCATTGTCAAATTCTCTTACAGATCGTCCTCGCAGACCAGAGATGGCCTTCCTCGATCTTACAAAACACGACGATACCCATTCCAACTTTCTTTTCTATGATATTTCAATGTTAAGAAATATTCAAGAGTGTGTGTTTGTTTCCGAAACTTTTAGCCTGATATTGTTCACTGATAACCCGTTCATGTGGGAAAGCGTTTGTGTTCTTTTTTCGACCTATAACCTAAAGATGACGATATACTCACGATACTGGATCTTGAATGAGCCATACAGCTGAGGAGACCAAGATACTTCTCGAAACATGGATTACGGGAACTTGCTCTATTGTGTCGTGCCCTGGCTTAAGTATCTGATGGCTATGCCTTAGCATGTGCTATCCTCGGAACTCACCTGAGTTCCTAGCTTCAGGAGCCAACTCACTCAGCTTGCCGTACCTACCCTATTCGAGTAGAACAGCGTCTCAATTACGCTGTCCGTGTCCCACGGCGCACTATACTGGCTAATGCAACGCGGATACACCCCGGTCTGACATCTATTTCGCATGTGGGACTGACTGGATCTACTGACTTCGTTCCAATATCACTGAGGACAAGCAGCAGATTCGTGTATTTAATGTCATTGCCATATAGTTGTACGCGTTTGAAGACATGAAGATACCAACGAGTCCAGGCCAATTTGTTCACAATATCTTGATCACATTGGCGTAAAGATCACCGGGTTGTCTAGGATCGGGCAGATACTTCAGGTTCGGTCTCGTGGAGACTCCATTGCAAAACGAGTATAAACGTTATCTCCGTAACATCTTGATATACATCGGTAATTTGAATCAGCTTCTGCTTCCTTGAGCGAATGAATCATGTCTGCTCATTCAACTGACTTTTGCCATCAGAGGGAGTGCTCAATTGCCTCGTCAACAACCCCTGTCCCGTATTCGACATCACTGCAACGTGCGCTCCGTTTCCAATCGTCATGCCTACCCCTCAGCAACGAGCACAATTACGACCCGGGTTTCATTGAAGGAGAGAGCTTATCCATGGTACGAGTGGCACTGCATCGTTCACGACAATGACATTGCAACCCTCAGCAGAGAAGTGCAGCTGAACGGACAACGCGAGGGTGAGGCTCGATCGGTATCGTATTGAATACATCTATATACCCAGTGCTTAAAGGCATGACCCTACGGAGCACAAACGTTCTGTTCTATAGGGGAGAAACAACCCATCGAAAGACTAGTGTCCAATATGTTCGGTGCTCTACTCCACATGGCACCTCACGCACCATGTACAATATAAAAACGCCCTGGAATGCACCTAAAGACCATCGTGGTATCCCGCGTGTCCAACTTCCTGCCTTATTATCGTGCCGTCTTTTCCCAACCTCGCAAACAGTCGTTACTCGTGAACACTCAATCCCTCACACAGTCTGTCGGCGACATGGCCTACAAGCGGATGTTGATGTCTAGGCAGTCAACCCGCCATTCCCTCCGGCCCAGCAGACTACGCAACCACTCGATGCCCAACCCCGTCCACTCCTGTCTCTGCCGCGCGAATTCTTCTGCCGCGGCTCCGGCAAGGGCGCTGGCTGTGGAGTTGATGACTTCCACCACGGAGGCGTTGAAGCTGGTGTTCGGATCGAGCTCGGGGAGCGGAAGAGAAGAGGGCGGGCGGGGTTGGAACCAGTTACTGCTAAAGTCGAAAAAGCAGCGGTCGGACCAGTTGCACGAGGTGAGGAAGAGGATCAACAGCAGAAAGCTGCAGTAGACGCAGGGCCTGTTGAGGAAATAGGTGCAGATGAAGAAGAGGAAGATGAAGGCCGGCGAGGCGTTGGTTGGGATGAAGAGGAGGGGGAGCCAGCTGTGAGGGAGTTGTCAGCAGAGATAACCACAATAGGTCGGGGTATTGCTTCGCGATGCTCACCTCCTTAAACAGAACATGGTGACGGGTGTGCGAGAGGGCTGTGACGTAGATGAGGGCGACGTGGGATCCCTGAAAGGTTGCTGGCGTCGGTAGGGGAGGGGGTTTCCCCAGGCTGAGTGCTTCCTTCAACACGATATCGAATTAGAAGACGTTGCCACGCTTCGACAGTACAAATGCTGGTTCAACCGATTCGCGAACGGCGCAGGGTTAGAGCGCAGCGAGGTCTTGTGTGTCTGGGATGTTTGTGTAATCGCAAACAACTTGGAGGTTTTCGGTTGGGTCAAAGTATGCGAACACTGCACACGAGTCGGCAAGGGGCCCAATGCGAGGAATGATCTTGTGGTTCGTTGCGAGATCTGGGAGCAGCGAGAAATCGTCAAGTTGATACAGTCTGACAATGTCATGGAATGCAAGGCGAGGCGTCGAAGACTTTTACTGGTTGCGTGCAGATCTGTTGCAGGCGACAGCCTCTCTTTCTCTCTGTCAGGCTGTCTCAGACTCTGGGGTCTCAAAACAGGCATTTGGGGATCTTGCTTACGTCAGGAAATTGAATATGCTGTGTAAGGTACTCCGTACTCCGTAAGGTATGCACGAACCCGATTCTGCAAGCAGCTTGATTGCTGGGGAAGGTACGGAGTAGATGCTGGATGATTAGGTAATGAACCAAAATCGGTACGTGTGGGAGCAGTGTGGGCGGGGAGGAAAGACCACCAGTGGCACGTCCCCACGTCGTCCGCCACGTAGCGCACAGACCAGCTGCATCCTGCCGGTCTGCCCAAGCACCCGTTGCACCCAAGTAAGCACCCATGGCCGCCAGCAGCAGCAGCGACAGCAACAGCAGCACCCAAGCTCTTCTTCAGTTCTCCATCCCAAGCCGGCGAAGAAATATACTTCCGTTACCTAAGCTTCCATTCCCTGCCCAGGAACAGGAACCTCTCACCTCCGAATCGCCTCAAACAGCACCCGCGCTAGCACTACATGCACTACGTAGTGAGGCACCGCCGAATGAAGGACCCCAAGACACGCCCGGGCCCAAAGCTGCACTAAATCGAGTGGTCGCTGGCAAATCGCACCTTGGCTTCCCGCACCGCCTCAGACACCTCCAGTCCAGGCTTGTCTTAGCACTTTAGGTACCACTCCACTGTACATACCTACCTGACCTTCCAGGGCACGCGCTTCTACATACCACCTTACCTCCAGTATACCTTAGTACCTTAAGGTCCATACCTATCCGTACAGGGCAGCTGCAAAGACGCGCCGGCCCTTTGTTGCTTCCGTCCAGACACCTGGGGAAAGCACGGAAAGTGCTACTTCGGACAGGTGCAGTCGAGAGGTCGTTCCTTCCTCTCAAAATTCAACCACGTCACCCCCCTGCCCCTGCTCCTTGCTCTGTTGCTCGCGCTACAGGGTTGTGCCACCTTTAGGTTGGGCTCTCAGGAATTCCAGCGCCGCCAGCCTCTCCCATCCTTCCATTCTCCGTCCCAAAATTTATTTTCGATATCCCATACCTTCACCTAACCTCACCTTACCTTACCTTTTTTTCCCCTTCCCTCCTCCTCCTCCTCCCTCAAAAACCCTCAATTCGCAAGAAAATCATCACACTGTCGTGTAACGACGGAAGGGTCTGCTCGTCAATTGTCCTTCATTTCCCTCGTCGGACCACGTCCCTTGCCACTCTCTGCATCTCTTTTTACCTCCTCCCCCAAACTTCCTCACATCAACGGGCGCCATCATGGTGTCTCCCATGCCTCCCGCACCGACACCCCCTGGTGGCAGTATGCCCTCCAACGGCGATCGCAGCAACAATTTGCTGAATTTGCTCAAGTTCAGCGGTGTCGGAAGTGCGTCGGCTGCGCAGGCTCGCCAGGAAGGCTATCAGCAGCAGCAACAGCAGCAGCAACAGTCTCCCCAGCAGCAGCAAGCCCAGCAGCACCACTACCAACAATCACCGCAGCAGCAGCAGCATCACCAGCATCAACAGTTGCAGCATCAGCCCCACCAGTCCCAGCCTCAGCCTCATCAGCAAGGCCGTGACTCGTCCTCGACGATGCCTTCGTCCATTCCGACGCAGATCGTCGCACCCGCCCGCGCCCCGGCCGACCCTACCGGCCTGCTCGCCGCTCTGATGAAAGGAGCTCACGATGGCGAGGAGTCGCGTTCCGAGCCGCCTCAAAACGGCTCCTTCTCGACTTTTGGCGCATCGTCGCCCCCCGACGATACGCGCGCCTATCTCTTGAACTTGCTGAACCGTCCGAAGCCCAGTCAGAATGACTTGCTTCTATCCGAGTCCACCCGTTCCAACCCCCCTCAGGCGGGCGAAAACATCCTTCACAGGGTGCTTGCTGAAGCTGGCCAAGCTCCCAACTTGTCCCACATGGCTTCCAACTCGTTCGAGTACGACCCCAACAGCTACGCTCAATCGAGCGGCAACTATGGCGCCTACTCGTTCCCTTCCACCCAAGATTCGAACCTCCACGTCGCCCAGCACCAGCACCAGAACCAGCAGCAGTATGGCTACAATGCCAACCACAACGGCAGCAGCTTCGACGAGTCTCAAATCACTTCGCCACACAACAGAACTCCCAAGACGGGTTCAATCTCGGGAATTGCCCCAGCTCAGTCGTCTGGCCAGTCACCTGCTGGTCCGGCTTTCCAGATCCTCAAAAAGGCTCACGACTCGCCGAGCTCTCACCATTCCCATCACTCCCATCACTCCCATCACGGAAGCGAGTCTAAGCGCATCGTCAACGAGCACCGCAGCCCTCTGGCCAGCCCCGAGCGCCTTCGTCACAGCTTCGGCCACGGTTCTTCTCCTGCAGACAAGCTTGCTAATCCTACGCCTGGCTCCACTGCCTCGTATGCGAGCATCCCTGCCGAGAAGAACAAGGAGACGGTTTCCGAGGCAATCCACGATATTGCCCAGCAAGCCGACTACGAGGCCCAGCAAGCTCTGGCCCGCGCTGAGGAAGAGCAGTCGCGGCCAGAGTACCTGCAGGATCTCGAAGATATGGACACCGCCCGTACCGAGAGGGAGTTCGAGGAGAGCGCCCATCATGCTGCTCAAGCCATCAAGAAGGAGCTCGAACGCGAGGAGAATAGAGACCTCCTCGAAAAGGTTGTCTCCGCCGAGGTGGCTGAGGAGGTTCGCGAGATCATCGAGGAGGCTGCGAGCCATGCCGTCGCCGACAGTTGGGAGAGCGCCGACCAGGACGAGATTGTGGTGATCGAGGAGGAAACTCCCGCTCCCGTAAAGGTCTTCAACTTCCCAATGAAGCCTTGGATCTCAATTGCTCTGCAGGACAGCGCTACCGAGCCTCGACCCCAGTTCAGAGACGATGCCATCATGGACATTGCCCGTCTCAAGAAAGAGTTCGACCAAATTGACCGCAATCTCTACACGGCCACCGAGAACTACATGGCGTACGGCATGTCCAAGGCTGGTGGTCTCCGTGTCATCAGGCAAGACGACGGCAAGGACGCCAAGATCTTTACCGACACCAAGGACCGCATCTTCAATGTTGCCATGTCCGTCACTCCCACTGACCACACCGGCATCCACCGCGAGGCCATCATTGGTACTGGCATCACTGGCACTGTCTACTGGGTTCAGATCAAGAGCGGCGAGAAAGACCACATTGAGGATGCCCACCCCGAGCAGTACGGCTTCGCTTTGCCCCCCATGGCTTCCCACGAAGGTGGCGATGCTCCTGGCGGCGTTCTCAAGACCCGTGCCCGCACGTCCACCATCCACCCCGAGTTCTTCGCCGTTGGCCGCGGCAAGTCCATCAACATCATCTGGCCCACATACATCATGCAGAACAACCTGTTCAAGCCTGGCCACGACCGCGTCGTCGACACGGAGAGATTGGCTAAGCAGTGCTCGTTGAAGATCAACACCGGTAAGGCCGGTAAAGACTTCACGTTCAGTCAGGACGATAGCGTGATAGTGTCTCTTGACAAGTCTGGACGTGTCAAGTTCTGGGACGTCCGTGACCTGACTGCCGCCAAGGAGGGCAGCGATCCTCGTGCGCCCATTCCCGCACACACCTCACTGGAGGTGAAGGAACCTCTCATGACCCTCACCAGCACTCCCGAGGGCGAGAAGGCGTGGCCTACATCTGTTCTGCTGGTCGACAAGCTTCGCCCGTACCAAAAGCGCTGCGCTCTGCGTTATATGATCATTGGAATGAAGCAGAACCACACTCTGCAGCTCTGGGATCTTGCGCTCGGCAAACCTGTCCAAGAGTTCAACCTTCCCCACACCAAGGAGTCTGACGCTGTTTGCAGTGTCATGTACCACCCTCCTACCGGCATGCTGGTGATCGGGCACCCGACCCGCAACTCCATCTACTTTGCGCATCTTTCGGCTCCTAAGTACAACTTGAAGAGCGTTTCGCAGGTGGACTACATCCAGCGCCTGGTTGCCCAGGACACCACCATCCCCGCGCCCGACTCGACTGCCGTTATCAGCGGCGTTCGTGAATACTCGTTTGCAAACCGTGGCATCCTGCGTAGTCTCGACATCCTCTGCAACCCTGCTATGGCTCAAGAAACCGACGAGCCTACTCTGTTTGAACTCTATGCCATGCATTCCAAGGGAGTCGCATGCCTTTTGATCAAGCAGGCTGAGCTCGGCTGGACCAAGGATAACAAGGTCCTGGCACCCGTTGACGCAGTTGACGCTGGTGTTGTTACTATTTCGAAGCTCAAGCCCCCCGCCAGCCAGCCCGCTGAGCCCAACCACCAGAATGCCGAAGGCACCCACCCCTCGGCTCGCAACATTGCCAAGGACTCCCTTCTGCAGACCACACCTTCTCACGATGACAACACTCCCCGTCGCGGTCCCGAGTCTGTCACGCCGGTCAAGATCGCCAAGGCGGAGCCAAAGGAGGAGGAGACGCCAGTTCCTGCTCCCGCCCCTGTCAAGGAGGAGAAGCAGGAGCGCAAGAGCCGCAAGAAGAAGGCAGCCGCAGCAGCCGCAGCGGCGGCCGCTGCTGCCGGCAACGAGCAAACGAACGGCTCGTCCCGTGTTGGTCCTTCCAACAACAACAACAATTCCAATTCCAAGGACTCGGGTAAATCTTCCGGCAACAACTCCAACTCGAACTCCATCACCCAAGAGTCTGTCGAATCAGCAATCAGCAGCATGGAGACTCGCCTCCAGAATGGATTCAACAACTTGCTCAACTCATCGTTCAAGACGCTCCACGGCCGCATTGACGAGGGCCTGCGTGCTCGCGAGGCCGACTTCGACGACCGCCAGCTCAAGCTCCTGAACATGGTCTCGGAGGTCCTCAACGAGAACACCCAAAAGGTTCTCGAGGCCCTCATCCAGGAACAGTTCAGCAACGCGGTTATTCCCGCTATTGCTGATGTCGCCGGCAAGGCTGTTTCTGACCAGTTCACCAAGAGCATGAACAACCAAGTCTCGCACTCCGTTCAGAAGGAAATTCACAAGGCCCTTCCTTCCGCGACTCAGCACGCGCTGCAGAATGGCGACTTTGTGAAGGCCATCTCGGATAGAGTCGGAGCCACGGTGGCGGCCAACGTCCAGCAAGAGGTCGTCAACACTTTGACCTCTCGCCTGGCTCCCTCCTTCACCAACATGGCGACCCAGGCTTGCCAGCGAGTGGTCGGTGAACTCCAGAAGCAGCACCGCACTGAGATGGAGACTCTCAACGCCCAGCGCCTCGCCGAGAGCAACAAGGTTGATCAACTTTCTGCCATCGTGACTCGTCTTACTGGCACGATCTCGAGCATGGCGGCGTCCCAGGAGCAATTCCAGAACGAGTTCCTCAAGTTCCAGCAGCAGATGATCCGTGTTCAGGCTCAAGCCCAGCAGCAACAGCAGCAGCAGCAGCAGCAGCCTCAACAGGTGCCGCATCACCAGCAGGCCCCCTCTTACGCCCCTTCTGTTGTTAGCCAAGTTCCCAGCCAGGTTCCTAGCCACATGCAGAGTCAGGCCTACAGCAACCTGCAGAGTCCTGACAGGGCTTCGCAGCACTCCATGAGCTACAGCGGCCACTCTCAGGCTCTCACGGTGGCCAAGTCCAACAATGAGTACGATGCCGATCTCCAAGCCCGCATTGCTGTCGTCAACCAGCCGATGAAGGAAGGCAGAGCCGAGGAGGCTGTCGTTCGCTGGATGCAATCTGGCCGTGAGCAGGAAGTGTTTGAAAAGTACATGTCCAAGTACAGCCCCGAATTCGTCCGCAACCTGCCGCACCTCGTCCTCTTAACCGTGACTGCCACGGTCAGTCTCAACCTGGAGTCATACACTCGTGAGAGAATCGCCTGGCTCGAAATGGTTGTGCACAGCCTCCAGGTCTCGCTCGGCGAAATGGTGAGTCATTCTGACTTCTGTCTAAACAATTCGATGCTAACAAGTCTTCAGGATGGTGACGCTCGTGCGGTTACACCAAAGATTATGGGTATGCTGGTGGCCCGCGTCGAGGGTCTCTTCGTTCGCATCAGCAGCACGTCGGGCAACGACCCGGTTCTCAAGAACCTCTCGCAGATTATTGTCAACGCGAAGCGGGTGATTGACGCGTGCCAGGACGAGCAGCAGTATGCTTGAGAAGCAAACAGATGAGGGTAGTTATTTCTCACACCTGGCCCAATGACGACATGACGATATCAAGTACATAAGACATTTCGACACCATACACATTTGCAGGATGGCCTTGCTACAAGGCATGGTTACGATGTTGAGGGGATATGTCCCTCTGAAGACTCGGTGGGCACGATAGCCGACGGTCGATACCTCAGTGCACATATGGCTGCGTTTTCTTTGGCATTTGGAGAATCGGGTCTGTGAATACGTTTTTCAATGGGAGGCGTATTACAGGCATGCGAATGGAGTCGTTTGGGCTCCAATGGATGGATCTGCGTGTGGATGGCTGACAAGATTCCCAAACCTTTTCTTTTCTTTTTTTTCCTTCCGTTGTAATAAGTGGTACGCTTGGGTGTTGGGACGAACCAGAAAAGGCTTAGGGGCGAGGGCGTTTGGACGACGACCCAGAGTCTATGGTATTCTTGGGGTTGGATGATTCCATTGGGACGTTATCTCGCCGTCTTAAACAGGAATATCAGGGCATGATCTAGCTTGGTACATTGGTTGTGTGACTGTTTGTGTAATGCGATGTGAGGCGTATGAGTGTGAGGCTGTTCTACCTTAGGCTTCAGTGGCGCTGTTCGATCATTGTTATGGAACTAACTTTCCAGCACCAGCACATACGACCACACCCATCAGAGAATTCGGGATCCCGTCCGCTCTCCCATAGACAAGCTGATGAGGGCCAGACTAGTAGTTGAGTCGGTGACGATCAGCGAATACCTGGTGTTGTATGTTTTTTTGCTACGTTCTACTGTTCGGTTCCAGGTCCACTTCTGATTGTTTGCCAGGAGGAGGCTGGGCTGGGTGTACAAGGCATTGAATCGCAGCCCAGTTGCACCGCCACTTTTGACTCAACTCAACTTCATCGCATAGATATTGAGGATGTGGGAAGAGACACTCGTCCCGATTGTCTCAATGGAAGCATGCGACAGTAAGGTACCAACGTACGCTAGATAGTCGCGAGGTTATCGTCGGACAAGAATGGAAGATTTTATTACATAACCATCGAGATGCAGCAATGTGGCCTGTGCCCCTGAAGAGACGGCAGAACCTTGCAGGTTTGCAGGGCTTGATGCCTGACAGCCTCACACCCTCTTAGGCGCTGTCTGATTGGACAAGTGGCTGGCGGCAAGAGCAGGACACCTGTGCTCACTGCTCGGTCGCTGTTCAGTTTTTGGGGAAAGCTCGAGTCACACAGCACGGTACCATGCCTGCCCTGTGGGACCTGTGGCAGCAGGAGCCAACTCAGTCAAGCCAGGAACGTACCTTGAAGTTTGAACATGGTGAGGAAGGAACCTCAAGGTCAGACTCGGACAGGTGACGGGAAAGAAGCAGCGCTTCAGATACCTCCATTTTTGCAGTGAATAGGTACATGCCTCTCACGGTCTCCCTCCAGGTCTCTGTGCCCGTGCTGTTGGCCCGAATTGAAGTCAAAATCTTTGCGGCCACCTCTATAGCCAAGCTGCCAATTTTCACCCAACCAAGTTATCTAAGGTATTCTTTATTATTGGGGAGATAATTCCTACTTGATCAAGGGCATGCCGCCTTTCAAGTTCCAACCATCCAACACGTAGTTTTTCCGCCCCCTCGACCGGGCCAATTGCGTTTGACAGAGTGTACTTCCCATCCGCTGCGAGGTACATGGACTCTTTCACTCCAAAGTACCTTACCTCAGCAGCACTTTCAGGTACACCCGACCATCCAGAGTACACCGTACAGACACACAGAGAGACAGACGCCAACGCGACAGCAGCAAAGCTCCAATTGAATTGACCAGGGGTGTGCCAACGCCAACAGCACCAAACACAGCTCCGACCACCGCTTTAGGGGCTTTGGACCTGGATTTGGATTGACAACCACCTTTTTCCCACCTCACGACGACACGACACCACGACCACGACCACGACGGCAAAGACCGCTGCGCCAGCTCCTCGACGAGTCGCCGCCGATACCTTTTGACTTTTTTGCTCGTCTGATGTAAGGACGACGCACCATCATCACCTCGAGACGATACCAAGGCGCGCAGACTACTGCGCCCAGCGGGACGATCCGTGAGAAGGAACCCATCCCGACAGCGTAACGACCACCGACGAGACGATTCCCACACCTCGTATCTATCTCCTCCCACATTCGACGGCAGTGCTGAGCTGCCCGTTGGGGACCAGTCCCCCCTTGCGCGCGTATGAGCTGGCAGGTGGTTCCGGGTATGGGGTCGAACGTAGGCAACGGCATGGGCGGGCCTGGAGGGAACGAGATGGGCGGCGCGATGCAGGGCAACGGCGGCAACCAGCCTCATGCGACCGAGTATACACTACAGGGTACGTTGCTTAACGCGACCATTGAGTCTCTTCGTCATTTGTACTGACTGCGATGCTCTTCAGGTGTTATGCGCTTCCTCCAAACCGAATGGCACCGTCACGAGCGGGACAGGAATGCTTGGGAGATTGACCGCCAGGAGATGAAGGCTAGGATAGCTTCCCTCGAAGGCCAGGCAAGAAGGGCCGACGCAACGCAAAAGGCACTTAAGAAATATGTCGCCATTCTCGAGAAGAAGGTTAAAGACCAGGCTGCACAGCTCAAGGGCGGTGCCAAAGCAGGCGAAGATGCTGCAAATGCTGAAAAGGATCGCGCTGCCCTGGTCCAGGAGAAGCTCCGACGTGGGTTTTCAGTCCTCGCTCTATCAAATGACAAACGAAGCATTAGCTAACAGTGTCATGCAGCTTCCTCCAAGAAACCATTCGATGCCCATGGTGGCGAGCTCGACGTCGATAAAGCCGACGATGAATCGCAGCGGGCCGACCTCAAGTCTTTCCTGGATCAGTGCCAGGCCGAGTTTACCTATCTGATGATTACCCCGGCGAATCCTCTACCACCACGAGATTCGCCCCCTCTCCCTATACTCGAGGACCTGCGCGAAGGCGAGCCGTTTGGCGTACCTGGTGGTAAGCCATTCCAGGAGCCGCCCTTCCCCTTTGCCTCATCGTCTCTTGTGCCACAAAATCATGTCCGCGAAGCCAACCGCCCACCTCCCGCCCCGAATCATGCACCCCCGATGCAGCGAAGTCAACCAACGAGTTTCCAAGTCAAACCTGTCGATCAGCAACAGCAACAGCAACTACAGCAGCAGCAGCAGCAGCATCAACAACCACAACAACAGCACCAACAGCAAATGCCACCCCCCGCACAAGAACCTGCACCCCCTGTCATGTATGCCGCCGGCACTGAATGGCCTCAGCCGATGTCGGCAACTGGCCGTATGCTCGACGACAATATGCAACGCCCCAGCCATGCCGTCGAGTCCATCAGTAGCGTAGAGCCAACGGAAGAATCTCAACCTGGTCGCCCTGCCCCTGAGACCGACGGCTGGGACTTCTCCGACGGATCATTTGCCGATGCCAACTCGTCGCAATCTCTACAGCACATCACCAACAGGCCCGATACCGACGCATTCCCCACCGCAGACAATCTTCCAAAGTCGCCCAACCGTGGACCGAGCTCCCATCGCCGCAAAGGATCAATGTCGCGGAGACGCAGCGCAGACCACGAGCTATCATTGAATTCGGCTGCTCAGAAGGCCGAAACGGGCAATTTCAAACTTCGATTCGGCCTGCGAGGCCATCTGGACACCGTACGCACCGTCATCTTCTCTGGTGGTGGCAGCCCCGGTGAACCTGAGATCTGCACAGCAGGCGATGATGGCATGATCAAGCGATTCCACATTCCTCGTGCCGATAACCATGGCCAGACCAATGCTGCGTCAGATCTCGACGTGACAGCTAACTTCTCTCATCGTGGTCACGCTGGAGGCGTGCTCTGTTTGACGTCCTGGTCGCCTTCGCCAAACTTCTCCACCGGTGGTCGCGCCCAAGGTGACGGCTGGATCTTTTCCGGCGGTCAAGATGCTACCATCAGGGTATGGGAACGTGGTAGAGTTGACCCCAAGGCTACCCTCGAGGGCCACACCGACGCTGTATGGGCGTTGTGCGTGCTGCCGACCACATTGGGCGCAGTCTTCGGCCAGAACAGCCAATACGGAAGCCCCGATCGTATCCTGCTCGTCTCTGGCGGCGCTGATGGATCTGTCCGTCTATGGTCCGTCAGCGCGCCGCCTCAGTTGACCTCACCTCAGCCGGGAACGAACAGAGCTGGTCCGACGGGCAGCAGAGGCCGTGTCCGCGGTAATTCGATGAGTTCTGGAAGTGCCTTCTCCAGCACCCCGCAGCCCAATATGGCATCGAGCTCCCCCTTCAACCACACGCTTGTCCACAACATTAAGAGGCCGGATGGCTCTGACGCCAGCCCTACATGCATCACTTCCCTCAGCCCTAGCGGCGACACGTTCGTTGTCTCTTACTCTGACGCAGCCATTCTCGTCTATGATACCCGGACAGGTGAACAGACTGGCGCAATGGACAGCTCCGAGACATACGACGGTTCAATCAACACCAGTGTCAACGCTGTTGTTGCGACAACAGTTGGTTTGGAACAGCCTCAGGGCGGGCTGTCTGAGGAAGATGGCAGTGCCGGCGGTGGACCAACCGGTGGTGGAGGCAGATCCATGGCAGGATCCGGGGTTGAAGGCGTCATTATATCTGGACACGAGGACCGGTTCGTCCGCTTTTTCGATGCTAACAGCGGTAAGTTATGAAAGTCAGATGTGTGCGATGATGTGCTGATTGAACGCTCAGGCCAATGTACCTACAACATGCTGGCCCACCCGGCATCGATTTCGGGCCTATCACTTAGTCCAGACGGCCGCGAGCTTGTCAGCGCAGGCCATGATGCCTCGCTGCGATTCTGGAGTCTTGAGAAGCGATCCTGCACGCAGGAGATTACGAGTCACCGCATCATGCGTGGTGAGGGCGTTTGCTCTGTGGTCTGGAGTCAAGACGGCAAGTGGGTTGTTAGCGGTGGTGGGGATGGCGTGGTGAAGGTATTTGCGCGGTAGACGGCGGAGGTTCTGGTTGAGTGAGGAAGAGACAGGAAGAGAGAGAGAGAAAGAGAGGAAAGAAAATATACAACAGCAGCAGCAGCATAGCGTCCGTTGAAATGGCGTTGTCTTTGGGTCATTACTTGCTACGGGATGGATGTCTGAAAAGATGGTCTGCTCTCCGAGCTGATTGTGTCCGAGCATGGGAGAAGAAGATGATGAAGAGGGTGTTGTGGGACTTTTTTTTTTTCCAACTTGTATTTTGGGCATGAAGTATAAGACTCTCGGGGCTTTTGGCTGCAGCAGTGGGCTCGCGAGCCAGATAGGGAAAAGACAGAAAACGAGGGGATGAAATGGAATAGGATAAGGGGGCGTGGACCGGCGCGGCCGATCCGCGTCCTGTTGTAATATTGTACTGGGGCATCATTATTGTTCATCACACGTCGATACCCTTACACTTCACCAACCAGCCCAACCAAACCGACCGACGTCCCCCTTCGCTTGCCTGTCGTTTGGTGGACTCTGGACCATGGTCTCTGTTTCTACGTACATAGCTTCTTCTTTACGGGTGAAGAGAATACATGATTGTATGATTCTGGGTATTAAGATAAGCTGTTGTTACAAATCATCAAGGCTGCTGCTGTCGCTGCTGTGAATGAAGGAAGGAAGGTCTGCTGACCGCGGACAAAATCATGGAATATGAGGCCTAGAACTCCAACTCCTCGACCTCCATGCCACATCCATTGCACTTCTTCACCGTCATACCCTCCTCATTCTCAACCGCTCGTCCCCAATCGTGAACGTGCTTGCCACCGCCCACCGAGTCTCCAAACTTTCTCGGTCCCGCGCCGGCGGCCGTGGTGGCCTGCTGTCTGCGAATGGCCTCAGTTCTGGTCTTTCGCTTGAGATCGTTAAGCTTATCCCTGAACTTGGCCTCCTTGCGCCTCTTCTTGTCGGCCTCGCGCTTGGCGAACTCGGCGTCGAGCTTCTCGGCGGAGCCCCATTTCGTCGTGAAGGCGTACTCTTCCACCTGCATACGGAGGAACAGCATCATGTCGTGCCAGTGCGACTTGTGCGGGTTCGGTCGCGAGAGGTGGGGGAGGAGATCGGCGTCTTTGAGTTCCTCGTCGGTGAGGAGATAGTCCTCTTTACACTCCGTCTTTGTGAGGAGCGAGTATTTGTCGGGCAGCTTGTCTTTGCAGGCGTGGCAGACCTGAATCCCAAAAATCTCGTCCCAGACAAAGTCGATTTCGTACGAGGAGCAGTCGGCGCATTTCTTGCGCATGGTGGAGTCGGCGAGGACGCTGAGGCCGGGCTCAAAGGGTCCTGCTTTCTGCCGGCGGAGTTTCTTGAGGAGCTGGAGGCGCTCCCATTCCTGCGAGGACATGCCTTTTGGTTTCTCTTCCTGGGGCGGGCCGCCCGGTTTCACCTTGGGCACGAGGGCCGTGTTGTGCGGGTCGTCTTCTGCCGTGAGGAAGCCGCCCTTTGTGTCTGTCATGGCGGACATGTTGTAGTCGACGAATTTGGCAAAGTTGCGCGCCGGGCGCGGGGCGGCGTTTGTGTCGCGGGCATCGCGGTTCGTTGACGGATGCGATTCTGCAGCAGCAGCAGCAGGATTTGACGTTGAGATGGAAGAGTGTGGGCGTTTGCGGGAAATGTCTGTCGCTTGGGAGGCGCCGGCGTTGGTGATGTGGACGTCATTGGTGGCTACGAAGCCCGAGGCGGTTTTGGGAGTCGGGATTGCGCCTGAGGCGGCGAGTTCGGCGTCGCGGCGGTCGCGGATTGCTTTCGCTTTGAGGCGGGACTCTTCCTGCGGTGGGGATTCATTCGTTTAGTGCTGGGGAGGTCCGAGGAAGACTGAGGATTTGAGGATTCATTGACTCACCATGCGACGGATTGCTGCTGGTGTTGGAGGGGTCCTGGCGGGCAGCGGCGCCGTTGCCGGGTTTGGTGGTGGTGTTGATGGGCGCACCATTGTGAATGTCTGGTTGGAAACAGTTGAGAGTATCTGAAGCGTCGTGGTGGTGTAGAAAGACGGTCGGGTATGGAGGATATAAGTGGGAGACGTGAATCTTCGTGCGCGCGGAGGGGCAACTTTTTGGAGAAAACGATTATGTCACTACGGAAATCGCGAACGCACGTGCCTTGCTGCTGCTGTGACCGAGCCACACCGAAGTGGCAGGAGAGAACGGAACTGGCGGAGCTGTCAGACACGAATTGGAGCTACTAAAAAGTACCTTTGGGAGGCTACAGAGTAAGATAAGGTATCTTTGAAATAGTCATGGTAGAGATGGCGAAAACGAACAGAGTGCGGATTAATGAGCTGTATTTTGACGAGACTGAGCATCTACGCGACCAGTACGGAGTATTGCCGCTTCATTTTCGAGAGAATCGCATCATGCTGGGAAAATTTACTTCCCAGTCGTGCCAGCGTATCCCTTTATTGCCTCCAGGTGGGTATAGTAACATATATGACCACCCTTGCACGCAACCAAAAAGCGTCTCCTGTATGACCAATGGTGACCCCCTATTTTGATTTTGTATTTTGTTCACAGTACGACTGTCCGTTTTCCCCTAAGCACCAACTACGACGGGCGACGAGAGCGAGCAGACATTTACTCCTCCTTGGCACCACCGCGGCCGGCACGCTCGGCAGTCTCGATGGCTTTCTTATCGCTGGCAGCGGGGCCGCTCTGGAGACCCTGCATGAAGCCGGCGGGCGCCTTGAAGGGGCGCTTGAGGTCGCCAGCGGCGGGCTGGCCAAAGACGTGGATCTTGACGAGGTTGCTCTCGAGGGCGCTCTTGAGGGGGATGATGGACTGGATCAGGAGAGGGTTGGTGTACTTCATGTAGATGTGCATGAAGGCCATCATAGCGATACCCATGGCCTGGGAGCGGAAGGCCTGCCGAAGCTGGGTGGTGTCGTAGGCGTGGATGGTGGTGGTGACGAGCTTGCCCTCCTCGGCGGATCCCATCGCTGGGGGCTCGACGTACTTGAGCGTGGTAAGGTCTACTGTCTATCAGCAACTGCTTCGATAACCCTGTACGATTTCACGAAGTGAACGCACCCTTCTTCTTGTTAATCTGAGCTTGGACGTAGAGGTAGATGATGGCGATGATGATGTTGCTGGCAATGTAGCCGGCGCGGCACATGTTCAGTACGTTGGGGTCTTCGAATGGGACCTTGCGGGAGACCTGCACCATGCCGAGCATGATGATCAGGTTGGTGCTACGGCATTGTCAGTAAAGGTATTCGACGTCGTTGCTGAAGGCGCGCAAGGAAACATTGAAATCAGAGATTTGCAGTGCGATTCGGTGCGATGGATGGAAACCCAGAGGGTGCAACGTACATCTGAGGGCTGACCATTTTGGCGGTTTGCGACGGAACTAATGGGAGTTTGATTGGGAATAATTGGAAAGAGGACGAGGACAGCGAAGAACCTCGAGGTCGCAAGTGAGAGAGAGAGAGGGCTGGTTGATTTAAGGTATTAATAGGAGAGCAGAGGAGGAGGCTGGCAGGATGCAGAGGCGAAGACGGCGCGGCGTGGAGTTGGCGAGTTTTTGTACGGTTTAGCGCGTGAGGGCGAGGGCGTCTTTGGGGGCGATGGGGAAGACACTCGGAGAGGGTGAGGTGGTCGAAACGGCGCCCGTCCAGTGGGTTGGTTGTGTGTGTGTGTGTGTGTGTGCGGCCTGGCTGGGGGGTGGAGTTGGAGGAGGTGGAGGTACCCTTGGACGAGGGAGGTACCTTTTTAGTGTGCAGCACTGCAATTTAGATGGTGGTTTCCTGTGTAGGTACCTCCGGGCCTACCATAAAGGCGTGCTAAGTTCGGGGTCCAGCGGGCTGCGGGATGGCGAATTGCAAAATAGCACAATTTTTAGTCCAAAGCTCTGTCAGTTTCTGTAGCATTCCGCTGCACTCTCTTTGGTCCTTTTCGGGGTCATGCAAGGGTGTCTGCGCATGCGCGTGTTGCCTGTATCTGTACCTGGCGAGCCTCACCTCTATGATTTATCACATTGTTCAAGGTCTCTCTCTTCCTCTGGCAATATTGTGTTAAACAAAATAGTCTGCCTGTTTGTGTGCCTCTCTATCGTCTCTCTGCAGCACATATGCAAGACGGCACATTGCAACTGTTGAGTTGCCTGAAGCTTAGGAAGGGGTGCTAAGACTAACACAAAACTACCCAAGGCAATATGCCACGCATTCAGTGGCTGGGAACTTGGAGAAAACGCCACCGGGGCCTTGAATTCTGACAAGTCCGATTCCCCGCGTTTGCACTTGGGACTTTCAGATGTGTGAGGTTCTTGTGAGATGCAGGCTCTTCTGACTTGTGGGATCATATAGGCAGGCGACTCTTGTTGGAGGCTCGGACTACGAGATCAGCGATGCCAATTCCAACAAAATAAGGTGAGAGGACACGTTCGTAAATTGCAACGTGGGGAATCCTGTCAGCTATATCCACCACCTGCCTGATTGAGACAGCTCACTTTTTGCCTCATCTTACAGCTGAGATTTGGTCATGCATCGCTGATAATCAACCAACACTAGCATCAGCTATCATTCACCTATCGCTTTGTGACTGACAACTACCCAATTCGTGATTGCCTCAACTACCAGCTGTCCTTGTCGTAAAAGTCAGTCACGAATCCACAACTACACCTGTATCACCACAAGTGCAACAGCAGATACGAATGAAACTGGGCTTTTCATATTCCAGATATGTACACCAGGGGCCACGATACCCACGATCAATATCTACATTGAGAATTTCATCAGACTTCAGCAACCATGTCCACGGACAGGTAACTGCGTCTTCCGGCAACAACGCCGCCGTCAAAATCACGTGGCGCCGGCCGCATGCTCCACTTCCGTCGATATGCACCCCGTAAAAGGTACGTATCCACCCCGATGTCCGGAATAGCCTCAAATGAAGCTCTTGAGAATCGGGAGGTAGGTTCCGTATGCCTTTCCAGTCGTGGGCTCCATGGAGTACATGTAGTCCGCCCACCAAGGTCCAGCAGCCCACCAGAGCACCTGCATTGGCGATTGTTAGCGGCTATCAGCATAAGAGAAACGTTTGAAAACATGAACCACTTACACCTCTCCACTGCTCAGAGTTGTCCGCGAGGTGCTGGAGGGCACCCTTGACGGCAGTCTCGCACTGGGTGTTGACACCAGCGCCAATCTCGCCGAGAACACCCTGCTTGTTGTTGTCCTTGAGCCACTTGGTGGCAACGGCGAGGCGCTCGGCGCCAATGGTGCTGCTGACACAGGCCTCGTTGGTGCCGGAGCCGTCCGTGTCGAGGTACTGGTGCATCTCGTAAAAGAGAAGTTTGCCGGTCGAGTCGGACGGGTCCGTGAGGTTCTTGAGGGCGTCGCCGGAGCCGCTCTCGATCCAGTGCCACGCGCCAGAATACGAGTTGCCCTCGATGAAGATGTTCTGCTTCGTGGCGCCCGCCGCGCGGATGTTGGTGATGGCGGCCTGGTTCAGGTCGTGGACGAGCGTGTTGTCCATGTCGTGGTACTCGTTGTTGGTGTCAAAGATGACCTTGTCGTTGTCCTTGAAACGGGCGGCCACCGTCTTCCACCACGCACCAAAGTCGGCGGAGCTGGTGATGATGTTGCCGTAGTAGCGGCCGTAGTTGTGGGGGTCGATGACGGCGTAGGAGCCCTTGGAGGTGACGTCCTTAACGAGCTACGGCCAAAGTATTAGGATACCTTACGTATGTCCACCATCCGCAGGCTGCGCAAAAGACTTACATCCTCAAGACCAGAGAAGTAGGTCTCGTTGATCGTACCAGTCAACTTGTCGGGAATGATACGCTCCATCATCGTTCCGATACGGAAAGTGTTGAGGCCCTGGGCTCTAAGGGTCTAAAACCACCAAGTCAGCTACCTCATGGCATCATCGTCTCTGTGTTGCTCACATCAATGGCAGTCTTGTTGGGCCATGTGTACTCCTTGCCCAGCTGTCCGGGAAGGGTACCCTGACCGAACTCGCCACCGCTCTCGTTGACACCAGTGAAGAGGAACTTGCCGGCGCGCTTCTCCTTGGCGCCGTCAATGGGGGCCGCCAGGACCGATGCGACGGACGCAGCTCCGAGAGCAATGTTGGAAAACTTCATGATTCTTGATCGAAGAAAGGAACGAAAAGGGTTAGACTAGAAAAGAAGGTAAACAGGTCGGATGCAGTCCAAGCAAAAGCCAAGACCAACCCCAGAGTGGCTCCGAGGTATGGCAGACTTTATATCCTCGTGGCCGGGACCCTCTCTCTCAGTCTTCCTCCTCTCCCTCGTCTCCTCATTCGTCTCCTCTCTCATCCGTCTCTCGTTTACAGTTCAGTTCAGGGGGGTGGGACGGGATGGTAAAGATGGTACCGACACATGGACAATAGTGGACTGTCGACAGGAAAAGTTGCCTGTTACGAACGTTTGGGGGAGAATCACCAGGCCACCCCCCTACAATATCATGACGGAGTCCCTTGCTCCGTCCCATGTATAATGGCATGTAAAATGGCAAAACACCACACGATTTGTGGGAAAAGAGGGAACGCAATCAACGAGGGGGGGCCGGTCACTTTGCTTCTCAAAGTCTAGTCTGGACACTCTGGAGCCCGTGGAAGCGGCGAGCCTCACCAAACTAAGCTTGCTTGGCATGGATGATGTGCCGCGTGGGGTAGTCCCCGGTAGGGGAGAGCACGATCTCGGGACCTGGACCTCCTAGTGCTGGTTCTGCTGGACCTCCTGGGACCTTGCAGGCGCCAAACTACGGTTCATGGTTCACATTTGATGCCGAGAGTGCCGAGCAATGCGGCTGCTTCGTACAGTCGTACAGTTGGGGAGCTTTCGTTTGCCGCCTGGATTAGATTGCGTGCAGGCCTAGTCTGAAGTTGTTTGGCTACACGGCATCATCATCGAAGGGGGATCGGGGATAATCTGGCAGGCAGTCGAGTCGAGTGGCGGAGGGTGACATGCTCCGGTATTTGCGCAAATTTCCCGCGGGTGACAAGTGCCGGCATGAGAGACAAGAAAAGCAAAGTGCGACGCAACAGTAGACAGAAAGAGACTGACAAGTCGGACTCGTGGTTCGCTAACAGGCTTTGAAGTGTCGTTGGTCCCAAAGGGGGGGAATAAAGTTGGCTGTTTCAAGTCGCCGGGGGGATTCCCTCCGCGTGGTCGCTGGTATAGCACCTGGAATTAAGGGATCGCCAAACCCCACAATGATCATCAAGATGGGACTGGAGAGCTGCGAGGGGGGCCAAGTTGAGCCGCGAACTCGGGACGGCGGCGCGAGAAGGTTACAAATAGAGGATGTGGCTGTTCAAGGAGTCGGCTGGCAGAGAAGGGTGATGTAAGTAGGCTTATAGAGTACGGAGTACAATGACGTGATATAAGAGACATGAGATCAGGGGAACAAGCCGTTCAAGCCAGAATCACTAGACTTGTGGCCGGCGGACCTCTCTCAGTAGACTTTGGGAGTTGGCGGCCAGCAGGGAGATCCTTGGATGCTGCACTATTGAAAAACTTTGGACTGAGTCGTTTCAACAGAGTTTGCGGTTGAGGAAACAAGTTGATCGATAGCTCTGCACACTCTGCTTTACCGTCGCCGTTGCCAACTGAAACAGTATGGAACGGCCTTCCGAGCGTGCACTGAGAAGCAGAACAGAAAAGTACGAAGGCCATAATCTGGAAAGCCTCTCTCCATCTTTGCTCTCTCCACGTAAAACTTGAAATCATTTGGGGACTTTAGGTAATAGAGGGAGGAACGGATACTATTGAATTTGGTAACTCTGGCTCAAGTTACCTGCGCCCATCAGTGACATTGGTGGAGAGGTTGTCGCTGAGTGCAGCGAACTATGATTAGCTAAGCCGGTATTCCATAGTCGGGTCCGAAGCACGGAGCACCGGCCGTTCACGTGACTCAACCGAATTCTGGAAGCTCGGAAATTCTTCCCGCGTGGCATCGCGACAGCCCAGAAGTGACTTGGAGGTGGAAGTAGCTATCAATCCCGTATCGCAAAAGGAGTCGCCAAAATGCAGCCAACACGACACCTCCTGAAGCGATCCGTATGGAAAGGCAAGTCTCAGATATGTCATGTCGGATCGAACCTGTTGAACTGACAATTCATTAATAGGACCTCACATTGTCCCGTAAGGACTCCCTCCCCTCCGCGAACACCCCTCAATCGAACCGGCCTCGAGTCTGACCTTGACGCAAATAGTCTCCCCATCGTGCGCCCCGCCCCCGGACAGAAGGTTGTACCCATCCGGACGCAGGCCCGTTCCGCCACGATCCTGCCCAACTTTGTCGGCCTCAAGTTCCAGGTTTACAACGGCAAGGCGTACATTGACGTGACGATTACGGAAGACATGGTCGGTCACAAACTGGGAGAATTCTCGCCGTACGTTGGAACCATATTGGAGATGTTGAGGTTCTTAGGCGCTAACATTTGGCAGCACGAGAAAGCCCTTCATCTGGTCCAGGATGTAATAGGCGGCGACGGTCTTGGGATTTCAAAAGTTCATCAGCATGCGGACGGCGTCTGTCAGGGAGTGGAGAAAACATTTGTACAACAATGTCAAGATACCAGCGATATATACTGTAGCATAAGAATTTGGGGCCTTGTGCCGTTGACGATCCTCTGCTAGCCGAATGGATGTCCATATCGTAAACTTTCGAGCGCCTCTAACGTAGTGCTCGTCCAAAGCCGAATCTCCCGGTCATGTGAAACCCCGTTGACGCCATACCCAAGTCCGCCCAACGCCGTGATATATGCACACCAGCCCAAAGAAATATTGGCAGCTCCCAGCTGCTCTGACCAACCTCCCTTATCGATAAAATTCGCTTCTCTTGACGTTGACTCCGTACTCGCCGACAGCCATGCCGAGATCCTCCATGGTAAGAACGGTCCTGTTCTGGCTGCCGCCCTGTCCACCACCGCCGTAGCCAGGTCTCTGAATACCAAGAGGTCCTCCGCGACTTTGGTCTTTTGCGCCGGCTGGACCTGTGGGTTGGCCCGGGATGGGGAATCCCGCCGCAGCACCGAGGTTGCCCATGGGGTTATTGGCGTTGGAGTTTGAGGCGCGAATGCGGCTGTACTGATATGCGTCGGCAGAGATATCGGCTATGAACTTTTGCGTTGCGAGGGCGAGCAGGCGCGCCAGGCGCGGGTCGGTCTGCGGTGGTGGGGGGAGGCCGGCCTTGGTCATGTAGTAGTTTGTGACTGCATCAGGGATCTAAGCAGGTGAAAGCTGTCAATCGGTATTCGATCCCCTGCAAATTGTTGTTGAGACTTACAATGGGAGCATAGTCGTCCATCTTGGTCAAGAACTCGCGAAGAGACATGTCCTTGCGGGTAATGGCCTTGGGCTCTGGGCCAGGCGCAACTGCCTCGGGGACAGCCGCGGCATCAGCTGGGGCGGCGGCGGCATCGGTCGTCGTCTCTTGCGTGTTGGGCGCGGTGGGCGCCTGCTCGGCAGTCTCTGGTGCAGTCGTCGACATTGTGATCGCGGCGCGTGAAGAGCAGAGGTATTGGTGATAATGCCGGATAGAAGGAAATCGAGTCAAGAGCGCGCGGTACCACAAGGCTGATGAGGCTGGTGATGTAAGGTGAGGTTCGCCTTGCGCGAGACGCGGGAGTGGCGTCAGTGTCACGTGTCGCGCAGCTGAGCCACTTTTGCAACCGTAGACAGGTACCTTCCACGGTCCACCTTCTCACCTTCGCGGTTCTCCACAGCCAAGGTCAGCACCTATGCTGCTCTGCATCCGTGTTCACTGTTCACTACTCCGTACCCAGTACCTTTTGGTCTGTGCACTTGAATTCCAGCGTCTGATTTAAGCTTCAACAGGGGTACCACACACGATCATGGCGGTGCTACAGGCAAAGTGGCGGTTACGGAGCCATCCATATTACGGGCAAATGACTAGCTTTCTTAACATCAAACTACACACTACTTATTACTGGGTGTGTCAAGACGGGAAAATGCTGCGTACGGAAAGAAGTGGTTCACTGAGCTTTCAATTTAACAACCGGTAAAGACCTGACGGGTCTCGCCGACACTCCGCTAGCATCTGTCTTTCTGCCAGCCCCCTAATCGCTCTTCATGAATTGGTGATCGTATCGCTAAGCTGGGTTACGAGCTGGACCAAGGTCCGTACTAGCTTTTCAAGTACCGAGGAACATGGCTCGAAACCTGCGTAGGCTCTGCCCAGCTATACGTGTGATCGTACGGGCAATTATATAGAGAAGCATCTGAGGAATTTTTGTGCAAGGGGACGCTACCAAGATTGATAACCGAGGATGAACCATGCTCCTGGAGTCCGCAGTATGGGGTCGCCGTGACTCGTTAACCCAGCCAACCTGCAATCTCATATAAGAAGCTTTGCTTGATATATGAACCGTAGCTTGGGCTCACCTATGTGCATGGAAAGGCTGGAACCGGGCGCAGTAATTCGGGCGTTTTCGTTGTCTTCGATACCGAATTTCGGCCACCGGGAGGTATTTGTCGGCCGTCTTTTCTACGAAGTTGATCATTAATCGAAGTCTTGGCACATGGGCTTCTCCATCGGTGACGGGGTGATATTTCCATCTTCAGGTTTGTCAAGAAATATGGGTCGCCTCCTCAAGAGTACACATAAATGTTGCAAAAGCCCAGCATCTCTTCTTACTTCAGGTCGATTGCTTAGTTCATCTTAACCCAACATAACAGTCGAATATCCAAAATCTATCGAAATGCAATTCCCTTCATCTACTGCCGTTCTCGCTCTTTTCGGCCTTCTTGCCTCTCAGGCAGTAGCTCAGCAGGTTGTAAGTGAACATGCAATGCCCAACTGAGACTTGACTGAAGAGGAACCCGCTGATACCCCATGCTCGATAGGAGTGCAACTGTACATGAAGACTTTGACTTTTCCCTCAATGGACTCTCACTGATGTCATACAGCTTGCATAGCGGCGTGCGAAAGAAGGCCTGGCGTATGCTGGGGTGGAGACAACATTGGCTACTGCAAGAACCTCTGTGGTCCAAACTGCCCCTGCACATTCTAGAGGATGAATCATTGGGTTTATCGCTGGGTGCACAAGTCATTGAAACCTGACTAGATCCTTAGAAAGAATCAACAATCTAGTATACTATCACTGTTCGATGAAGGCAGTACTGGGCTCTCGTTCTTGCTTGCACCGTGCTGGTATTCGAAGTTGACCATAACCAGGACGGTGATCTCTAACGTACAGCACCGCGCCAGTGATATCGTTGTCTGATTAATCAGAAACACTTTCTTTTGACTTCAGTAGCTAAACAGAAGCGTGGTGTGGTTGCCTATGCGCAGTAGTCTTCGGTTCTCGTTCATCAGCATCCATCTCAGAATCCAGGCCATGACCGCGGCTGCCACGGAGAATGCAGCGCTGGACAGCATAGCCGTGGTATACCGAGGTGCGTCTGATTCTGGCCAGAGATACTGAAAACAGTCAGGGAGGTTGCCAAGAATCATTCGAGATGGAATAGAGAGGCGGTGACTTACTGGGGTGTAAATAGAACCGATGGTGGCGGTGGTGTTAACCAAGGCGAGGGAAACTGCTTTCTTCTCCCTCGTTTGGCCACAGGTGCTTGAGACCCAGCCGAGAATGATAGAGTTACATGCATAGACACCGCTTGCAAAGGTGCACATAGCAAAGTACCTCGCACCGACATTCAAAGTACTACAAGCTAGCACGAAGCCAAAAACCGCGACAGCTTTGGCAATGGTAATGTGCCAGACTCGTTCGTTGAAGTGACCTGACGATATTCGTCAGTAGTGCGCACGTACGATTGCTCAATGACCTCACCTGAGCTAGCAGCCCATGATATGGTTGCAATACCGGAGATGATGTAGGGGGGGCATGTTAAGGCGAGCGTTACGTTTCGGCCGAAACCCAGCGTTTCGACAATAGTTGGGAAGAAGTTCTTGTAACCCGATGCGCTAAGATGCAAATGCTGCATAGTCACCAGAACCCAAAGACGGGGATCCCGAATGGCTTCAGAAAGACCGGCCCAAGTGCTGGTATTCGCTTGAAGTTGGACTGTATCAGCTGCAACTCGGGACTGCGCCAGCTTTCTCTCCTCTTCACTGAGCCAGCGAGTGTCGAGAGGTTGGTCAGGCAACAGAAAGGCCGATGAAACCGAAACGATAAAGCTGATGATGCCTTGAAGTATGAACAACCATCGCCATCCGCTTAGGCCAGCCACCTGGTCCATTTGGAAGACTCCTATGGCTATGAGACCAGCAAAAGCAGTGCCACATATGTTAGCTGTGAAGAGTATGGAAATTCGTGTTGCAATCTCCTTTCTGGTGCAGAAGATTCCTAGCAGATACAGAGCGCCGGGGTAGAACGGCGCTTCCGTGATGCCAAGGAAGAATCGAGTCAAAAGCAGGCCCTTAAAGTCTTTCGTCAAACCTGTCACGGTGCTGACTATTGACCAAAGGGCCATAGCTGAAGCCATGAACCATGAGGGCCTGACTCGTGTTATCAGCATGTCTGTTGATCTTTGTCAAATTCCGCCTAGAAGAAAAAGGGGGATTAGACCGCACTACTCGGAATTTGTCCTAGGATATATCCCACAAAGAGTATGGAAACACAGGTCTGGTATTCAACCGAGGTCAGACTAAGCTCCTCCTCGATGCCATCTAAACGGGCTACGGTAACGGCGTTTCGATCGAGGTAACTATCGTGAAGATGGTCAGGAAGAGTTTCTGCTTGAGCGTACGCCTACTGGTACGCTTACTTGAACCAGTACTGATAAGATAATACAACGATCAGCGTTCATTGTGGGATCTTTACACTAGACCATGAGTACGGTGTACCAACCATAATCCAAAGAACTGGCAAGATGATCCAGTCCAACTTCCGTACCAATCTTTTCTCAGCCGGGATTAGGCTCCCGTAGATTCCCGCGGGATCAGTCTCTGATGTGTCGATATGGGATTTCGGTACCGCCCTCAACTCCAGATGCTGACATAGGGCAACTTCATCTACTTTGGGTGCAGATGTAGACGCGAGCGCCTCAAGATGAGGCTGTTTGGAAGTGGCCATGTCGAATATTCCCTGATGGAAAGGTATACATACGTATCCGGATATGGAATAATAGCTCCCAGACTCTCAGTTGAATAATTGTCGGGACTGCCAAAGAATCCCTAGTCCCCCTTCTTATATAGAACACGTATCAACGAGGTAGCTGCACTCCAGAGTATCTAACGGATGGTCCAGGTTTCCCCGCATTATCCTGCGTTAGTACACCCGCTCGCTAGTGTACATGTATGTCTTCGTGACATGTTTTGAAAGATCTATGGAACGCTTAGCCGGGAACACGTAGCTTAGCCACGCCAATGATGGGCTTTCTGAGGCGACAAAAGGCTCTACGATGGCTGGGCGCAGCTCAGCGGACTAAAATGGGTGCCGACAGGGCGACGGAGAATCTTGGACACTCCTGGCAAGATTTAACGGACATCGACGGACTAACGCGGCTTGACACGGAAAGTCACGGATGCCTTGTAATAGCTGACACTAAAGCATGCGGAGACCACTGTGACATTTCCTCAGACGGATGGTTCACGTATAAGCTGTTTGGCCGTGTATCTCTAACTGATATCTGGGAGGTTCCATAGAAAGTTGAGTGAGTCGATGTCGAACCCCTGGTAAAGCTGATCCGTGTTGTCACTGAAAGGAGCAATGCTGGAGTCAAATTGCAGAGCCCGCCAGATCCCGTTCTGATCCGTAGACACGCCATCATTGGTACTTTGATCAGGCGGAAGAGTTGGCAGCGTGAGTCCAAATCCACTCAGGCTGTCTTGGGTATCGTTGAGCGCTCTCTGGGGTACAGATACAACGAAGAGATTTGACTTCAGGAATTTGGTATGTTTCTCAATGAGATGGGCGTATCTCAGTGCAAAATCCATGTCGTCGGGCGGGTACCTTCCCAACGCAGTCACACATCGATCTAACGTCCGTAGGGCTGAAGGAGCATCTGTCGCGGGTGATCCGAGACTGAGGGCCTTTAACAAGAAGACGGATGCAGATATCACGCTGATCCTGACACTTGCTGGCGCATATGCAAGATGTGACTGGAAAGATGTCTGAGTGGCAGTGCGCAGCACTTCGCTGCTATCCGACACAACCTCTTGCAGAAATCTAGCATCCTGGGCCGTCATATAGCCGGCTAGACTGTCCTTCTCAATTCCATGTGCTCTGGCTGTCGCAGCTCTTTGTATGACTGCCTGTATTGATATGGCACCTATGCAAGCTCTAATGTGGTAGTACTCGATAGATAGTGATGTTCTTAACAGCCCAGCTATGATGATACATCCATATTAGCCATCTGAAGTGTTGTGGAGATGGATCAACAAACCTTTGCAGTCTGCATCAAATGAGACCTTCCAGTTGGAAAGAGAGCTCAGGAAATGATCCAGCAGATCTGGGTAGCCATCGCTCTGAAGTAAGCCTTCCAAATGTTCCACAGATTGGAAGAACATTGACGAAGCTACTTTTGAGAGACGGGTGAACTCGAGGTAGATATCCATGTACGATGCCCATGAGGCCTGTGAAGAATGGTCCATGTCTTTCATCGAAGATCTCGAGGCTGCAATGGACACACTCTCGGGGAAGACGGAGCTATACCCAAGTCTCGTTGCGGTTTGAGTCATGTAGGCATAAAGCAGCTTTCGAGCTCGAAACTTGCGACAATCTGCAACCTTTGACGCCGTATAGTCTGCGCGCTGACCGCTTGATAATATTCCAAGCTCGTAGGCAAGATTCGTCGCAAGGCCCAGGAGCATCCACGACATCCTGCTCGCTCTTTTCGCAGGCTCAAAAACATCCTTGCGCCAACGGAGGAGGGGTTCCTCATCGTTAGTTCGTCTCCGGTTCTCTCGGTCGTAATCCAGATCGATCAGCATAGCATCCCAGCCCTCTGTATCCGGAGGGAAATGAATGGCTCGAGGGTGCCAGTCGGAGATGAGCAGCAGACTCTCGATTGTGCCGATTATTCTCATCTTGGCGGTGGAAATCTTTTCTTGACCCAGAATAATGCGTTTGATCATCAGCTCACAAAATTGCCAAAGTCGATTATGTATCAACTGACTCCTGGAAATGCCGCCTGCTCCCGGCAATAGGAAGAATCGAGATGAAATCATTAGGATAGTGCAACATAACATGGATTCTTCATAAACGAGGCTTGAGTGAGCATTGTGGTTCCGAAATTGGTCGACGATGATAGGAGATAGTGGAGAGAGATATTTGAAGAAACTAGTCGATGTGAGTGAGAATTGGCTGCACTGAGCCCAAAGAGTTGAACCTTACAGATCGATGTACGTGACGGCTTCTTGCGATGTGAACCAGCCCTGTCTGACGAATCTGCACTTGTCCCACATATCGAGGGTATCGTCGCCTGGTTCAGATAGAGCCAGAATGACAAAACCCACCCCGATCTGACCTCCTGTTTGTTCTCTGGCGGGTACAGCAACGGGAACATCCTGCACGGCGTGTGTTGGCGGTGCTGAAGGGGGACCAGAGGATGGTGATACTGTAGCATGGTGAAGTATATTTGCGGCGTCGGACAGCACATCAAGAGCATCATTAGAGCCGGTCACAAGGCTGGAGACAACCCGTTCTGAAAGTGAACTATCACGAAGAGAACTTTGATGCCACCCGCTTCTAAGGTCTTGGTTGACTGCTCTAGATAGAGGGGCCGCTGATGGCATGTTTTCTTGTACTGGTGTATCAACGTCTTGTGGTGACTTGGCTCGACTGACGCTAGCAGGCTGCGGCGTGATAGCATGCTCAGCCGGCCGGTTACTTTTCCAATTTGGCGGATCCCTGTGCTTCGAGGTTCTCGGACGTCGATCGAATCGACAATCGCGATGCTCACGTTTGCATTTGGCGCAAGGGGGCTCACCTCCCATAATGCATCTCACTTTGCGAGACCTACAGGTGTCGCAAGCAACGTATGTCCGCTTGAATCGTGGTGATCCGACTGAGGACGGCCCTGTGATGGCCTTATTTCCCGGCTCATCGCTCATGGTGAGTCAAGTCAAGCAACAAGCATCAAGTCAGGATAGGAGATTCGACTGGGTGCTGGACAAGTCAGCCCCGAACATCCCAATCATTCATGAAATCTTGCTTGTCATCTTCTCTTACCCCTACTCAATGAGCCTATTGGCAGATTCAGGATACAAGAACGGGTGTCCGCTCTCGATGCTGGTGGTCTGGAGGTTTGGTGAAGCGAGGGTAACAACTGCCGTAGAACCCCGCTCCGATCCGCTAGATAGCGCCAATGCCCGTGACAGTCCGTGATTATCCGCTTCGGTCCGTTTTCGCTGTCTGCGCTGACATCATCCGAACTTTGCTCTTCTCGGCACTCGGAAACACTGTTCCATCAGACTGTGCGATTCGGGCACAAGTCGAGTGTCACACGGCGAGCTTCTCATCGTTTGAGGCTTCGAAAATTGGTCTGACTGTGAATGCTACAAGTCTTTCACTCCGATAGCCGGAGCTCTAAGAGGTGCTGCATAGATGGTGGTGAGGTGTGGGAGTTTGTGTATATAAGCTAGGAAAATCGCTTGACGAAGAGAATCATGCAAGCTTGACAGCAATATCAATATCGATAGCCTTCTAGGTACCAAGAAGTCTCATATCAAACGATTCCCCACAGTCAAAATGTCTAGGTCCATCGTCAACACCACTCCCTACCCGTTTCACTTCGACGCAAGCAATGGTCCGACCATCGATAGAAGCGACAAGAAAGCAATACTGAAACTAGATAATTGTCGTGGAGGGATTCCGTCCCTCCAGGCAACCAAGATTCGAGCCATGATGCAAGAGGCGCACGAAGACCCTTCCAAGATCCTTGCTCACGTATGCAGCTACGATGCCTTGAGTTCAAGACTTTGTGAAGAGGCTGGCTTCCCTCTGGTTTTCCTGGCTGGGTATGCCATGGCTTCTGCGTTTGGCCTCCCAGATACTGGATACATAGCTTTCCAGGAAGTTGCTGCAAAGGTTCAGGAAGTTGTCAGAGAAGTCAAAGTTCCCGTCCTTGTGGATGGTGATACTGGATACGGCGGTCCGATGAATGTGAAGAGGACCGTTGAGGGGTAAGCTTGATTTTCGCCCACCTGGAAACCAATTTGGTGATCATGCTGACTGTATCTACGTAGATTTGCGGCCGCAGGAGCTGCTGGCATTATGATAGAGGACCAGTCTTGGCCAAAAAGTATGATCCAACATCACCAGTGATGAAGAAATTGAATATATCTAAAAGTTCTTCAGGATGCGGCCACACTGCTGGCAAGAGCGTGGTCTCTAGAAGCGAGGCTTACGCCCGATGGCAGGCCGCAGTTGATGCCAGAGACGAAGGGGTGGACATGTGGATCATGGCTCGGACCGATAGTCTCATCCACGGATACGACGAAGCTCTCACCAGAGCTCGGAAGGCGATTGAGATTGGAGTGGATGCCGTCTTTGTCGAGGCGCTCCCCGATCGCGAGACCATGGAACGCCTGAGAAACGATCTCGACTTCCCTGTCTTTGCCAACATCATTGAGGGTGGTAAGACGGAGAACTTGTCTGCGCAAGACCTGGGCAAGCTCGGGTACTGCGGAGTTGCATACCCGTGGACTTTGGTTGCCGCAAAATTGAAGAGTATTCGCGAGGCTTTAGAGGCGTTGAAAGGTTCCTTCCTCGTGGGAAAGCCCCCGACGATTCTGTCCTACGCTGAGGTTTGCGAGGGGGTCGGTTTCAACAAGTACTTCAAGCTTGAGGAGCGCTACCAATATGAGGGGCGCACGAATGGAGCAAATGGCCACCAGTGGAAGGAATGAGAGATGGTCTCGGCTTCCTGAATCCACGGTCGATATCTTTTATGGAATAGTTAGCGAACTCCCTTTGACCCTGCCTTAACATCGGTTGCCTTCGAAAATGACCTACCAAGAGCAAAACCTGTATGTTTCTTTATTCTCAGCAATGTGCATGGTGCACTGCTGTGTTGCGCGCAACCTTGGCAATCAACATTCGACACTGGCCTACTATCGACACAGGTGCGAGTGACCGATAGTTCTCTCAATCGAGAAATTGCAGTAGTCTTGAGCCGGTTGCAAGCCATATTGTGGCTTGCCAACAACTCCCGGCAACCGTTGGCATTGAAGTCAAGGTATTGTATACGTACTTCCAATCCAGGTCCATCTGACTTATGTGTGAGTTGAGCTGTACACCAGTCAATACTGGAAATGATACAGATATTCACAGGTTTCATCCAAGAAGATACATGTAAAACCTGGGCGAGACCTCAACAAGAATGGTTCGAGTAGTGTGACAGGTGAGATAAGCACTTACCAGTCTGCCTGGAGGCCCATCATTGTGTTTGCGACTTCAATCGGTCGTGGGATACGGCCGTCGCGGCTCAGCCGGCCCAAGCAGTCGAGAGCGAATCGCCGGGCGTCTGGGGGCGTGATGGATATCTCAGCAATGACCGATAATGGCCAGATCAAGCATCTCGCCGTCACGGAAAATCGGTCTTCCGTTGTCTCTAGATATTCGCCACAACTGGCGAGTACCTCGACCACCAGAGTTGACATTTTCCGCGTCGCGGCCTCCTGCATGGCAAAGTAGTCTACACTGGCTGATGTCGGCCCCTGAGCGAGGATCAAGGATGCCTGCATCCAAATAAGGTCGTTGAGAAACATGCGAATGATCCTTAAGGAGTTCCAGTACCGCAACGCTCGAAGGGAAGGATAGCGGAAAGATATTCCCTTGTATGTCATTGGTGCCTTCTCATACGGGTTCCTTGCCGTGAACCTCCACTCTGCCGAGACTTCTTGCCCAAGCTTCGCTGTCGCCGCGTCCAGATCCAGAGCTTCGACAAGAACCTCATGTCTCTCTGAGTCCTCCAAATAGGCTATTCTTGACCGTAGCATGGCGACTCTGTCGAGAACAGGGGTGACTCTGAGGAAGGGATCGTTGTGATCAAGATACGGCTGCGCATCATCGTAAAGCGCTATGAATCGGGTCGGGACAGGTGTTTTACTGTGCGCGCAACTCGTGCGGATGTTATTTGCAGAGTGAACAAAAAGCTTGCGGCCGAGGGCGGTCTCGAATTGCTGACTTCCACGCAGGCGTAATAACTCTACGGATCCAAGCGTGTGCTGGTTCCAGCTATCCATAGACTGCTGGCCGGAAAAGACGATGGCCTCGAACAGTCCCAGGAGCAGAACGGCAGCTAGAGTACTATCCTCGACGGCAAGTTTCGGAGAGCTAAGTGCTTGATTCGTTTGACATAGTGCGCTGGCGTATTGGACTCTAGCCTGCTTCATGAGTTTTGGATCCGATATCTTCAGCGACAGACTTGCAAAGCTGGCAGCCAGTATTGACGCTGACATGGCATCGTTTCCTGTCAATCCATAAGGGCAGAGTTTAGGTAGATAATCAAATGGCGAAGTCGCTATGTAGTCGGTCATGAAATAAGTGCGTGCTAAATCCTTGATAGGCGACGAGATTGTTCGATAGCGAACCACCTCACCGTCGGACGGTGGAGTTGAGGACGATGAACTTGATGGAGACCAGTGATTGACCAAAGCCCCAACAGCTTGCCTTGGTGTGGCCGCTATGGTTGGAGTACCGCTCGAACCTGCATGTTGCTTCTGCGCATCTGCTTCCGCCACTGATTGCGATTGCTGCTTCGTTTTGGCGGGCAAACGCCTCCTTGGTTTCCTGTTCTGGACCTTAAAAGCAGCGTTGGCGGTTTCGTCTCTAAAGTAGAATTCCGAAGGATCCCTGTAGCCGGGGCAAACTATCTGCTTTCGGGAGCACTGGGTACATCCGGGCTGCAGGCGATCACACTGCAGAACGAGAACGGAAAGAGACAAATGTCAGCCTTGGCTCATATCCGAAGAGTGTGGTTCATGTTGGTTGTTATAACGCGCTGGACAACAGCACACAGAAGTGTGCGTGCCGTGGTGTCGTACAGACCGCCAGAGGGACTGACGGGTCGAGGCTCGGGGCTGAAGATACGAGCGGACCAGTCGGAGGGGGGATTTAGGAACAAGATGGAGTACGAACCCTGAGTCTTCCCTTGCGACAGGGGTAGCACGCCTCTGACGGCCGGCCCAAAAAGACCATTCTCAGTTTTCGGTTGGACTTGGGGAAACGAATTGTGTCGGACGGTGGTGCGTAGGGGCCGAGACACACTGCAGCAACCCTCAAGAGAGACACACTGGCGATATCTTGAGGCAGATGGAGATGTGGTGTCGATACTTTCCTGATTGTGGCTGTGTTCGGGGGCCATCATTAACGTTGAAAGACCGTCGGGATACGGCCGGAAAAGCGGCATAAAGTCGTACATCTTGGCATTGTCGAAACACGATCCCCATTTGGTATGGTCGCGCTTTATGAACAAGCACAACTGGAATTCAGTCTTCACAACTCCACATTTTAAGGCTTGTTTTCAGTTGGCGCAACGGACAATTCAGCTGGAACGCGAAGTTGCGGGGTCCAAAGACGGTCAATAAGGAATTAAATTTACGCCAAGCTCCTATCTACCGCGCAGAGGACCAAACGCCATCCTAGCAGTCAAGCACTGCTCTCGGGAGACAACCAAGACATTTTTTCTCCTTCTTTTAACAGAGATATAAAGAAAAGAATAACACGGTAATTACAAGCAAAAATCTCAAAAGCCCAGAGAAGCAAGCAAGCCTGCTTGTGAGTCCCTCGTCGGATGCTGAAGAAGTTGCTCAAGATCGAGGAACACGTCCAGGCTTTCATATATGCCCTTCAAAGCCACAGCGACGAGGTTGTCATTCCACACCTCGAACATGGAGTTAGGGGTTTCTTCTGACGATGTGTCTCGGGAATGAGCCTTTTGCAGCAAGCTCCACGCCTGGTTGACGACGGCACGTGCATGCTCGTCAGGACTCTGCATGTCGGAAGACGCGACAGACTCATCGTCATTGCCAGATGGGCCGCCCGGCAAGAGTGGCACATTGTTCGTCCTCGTCTTCTGGCTTCGAGTGTCAGGAAGCGGTGCTTCCGA